CGTGGGGAATGCTCCGATGCAGATGCGCCACCAAGAGGGTTCCTGGTCCGCATCCCTATAGTTCGGCCCCGGCGACCATTTCTGCGCACAATATCCTCCCCAAGCATGCCCATAGCCTGTCCGCGTATTGCCTCGTGATAGATACGTAATCTAGGAAGCTGTTGCGCTGCGCTAGATCGCAAGTCTCCCGCCGCAGTTGGCTTGGCCCAAGATGCAAACTCTGTCCGCCTGCGCTAATCTGCGCCCATCAACGCCTCCACGGCCCCGTCGCATCGTCGCCCTTCAACTACTCGCAGTAGCAGACGTGTAAAATTGTGACCTTCCCCAATCGCCCGCCTCCCATTGGCTGCTTTCCCATCTGGCCTTGGCACCATCGCTGCCGTATCGCGACTTCCGCATGCTCTGCGCGTCTCTGCGTTTGCACCACGGCATCACGGTCCATCTTCTCAGCACGCCACCTGAGCCCTCCCGCCACACCTTCCCTGCTCCCTTCGCCCGCCTGCCATTGCTTGTAATCCCTTCCCTCGAGAAATGGACAACACCTCGAGTGCACCGCTGCTCAACGAGCTGTGCAGCGTTTGGTACGTTGTGATAATTCACTCACTCCCCCCCAATAGCGCTGATGCTCAACGGGAAACGCTCTAGAATGCTTGGCCATCGGCCCCAATCACCGCTGCACTTTGTTCCCGTCACAGTCGCCCGCTATGCACGGCCGGCCCTGGCAATTCACTGCTGACCCTTCCCTGTAGCAATACCACTCAGTTCAAATACCGCTGTCCCGGTTGTGGTGCACGCACTTGCTCACTGCCGTGCTACAAGCGACACCAGCAATGGGCCCAGTGCTCCGGCAAACGTGATCCCACCAAATTTGTGAAAAAGTCACAACTGCTAACACCCGCCGGCATTGACCATGACTTCAACTTCCTCTCCGGAATAGAGCGGAATCTCGACAGAGCTGATAAGGTTGCCGCCCATGCCTCTGCTGCTGCCGCCCCCTCCGAGGGTCTGTCAAATCGCCAGCGCGCTGGTGTGCCCTATGCTAAACTCGAGGCGGCTGCTGCTGTCAACATCATCCGCGCGCCCAACGGTTTGAGCAGACAAAGGGACAACAAGTCGCACATGTCGGCCACAAAGTTAGTCGCCCCGGCTAAACTTAACATGTTGGTAACACTACTGATCTGTATCCCCAGAAAAGCTTCTCGCAATATCGTTTGGACAGTTGAGTGGATAGATGATGCGTCCAAGACGCGTGTGCTTACTCAGACCTCGTCGGTACAGCAGATAAAAGATGCCCAGCCCTTTGCCCACTATGGCGTCAATAGCAAAAGCAAGAAGCGGAAGCTCAACACTGAAACTCCTGCTACTACCATTCTTGAACCAACCCACCCAGAGCAGCATGTCGCGCCTGTTGCAGAGGATCAAGACCAGCCACTCCAACAGACCCACGTGGACGCTCCGATCAGCGACGCACAGTCGGAGCCCGTCTCGCCTGTCCGAGGACGAGCAACCCCTCCTCGGTCAGAAAAAGGACAAACCTCGAAAAGAGAAGCAGACGTGGCAGACGGACGCACTAGCGATAATGGCCATGATGAGCCAAGCGCCCACGCCATGGGTCCTGGCGGGCAGCCCAGGTTTTTTCTACTGAAACCTCGCACGAGCACCAGCCGCCATGTACTCATACCACTTGATTACTCGTGTACACTCGCTGAAAGCCTACATGGTCGGACCATTCTCGAGTTCCCTACTATACATGTATTTCCTGCAGATATGGATAAGTTACCCAAAGAGGAGTTTATGCTAGAGGAAGAGTACGCCGAGCTGGAAGGTGAGCAACAAAAGGAGTTTGACGAATTGATGGGAGAGCTTGATCCCGAGATTCTAAAGAGATTGAAGGAAGGCGAGGATGGGATGCCCAAGAACGGAATAGGTAATGCTGAGGAGGAAGTCGACAGCAAGAAGATTCTGGATGTGCTAAAGCAAGACCTCGGCGGACGCTTGTGATTGTAAATGATCCAATCATGAATATGATTGGTTAAAACAAAGGTTACTTGTTACATCGTGGAAGCGTCTGATCCCTACTTGCAATCATGAATCAAGGGTTTGCTTGAAGAAACAAGGTGTTTTTTTTTCTTTGCTCATCATGGTTGAGTTGACATGTCCACACCCTCATGGATCAAGTCTATTATGCGCATTCGGCGCACACCTACAATCTCCAAAAACAATCCACCCGCACCTGACTAGGGTCTACCTTGTATCACGGCGTGCTGTTCAGGATACCCCACTGCTGGACTACACTCGAGGCCCAGGCGTCCGCTTGATTGCTTTTTTCTCACTAGCCACGCACGACTCCCAACACGCGGACTTGCCTCCCGCCCCGTCACGTCACATTACAAGGGCGTCACACCCAACGGCCCCGACGTTTCGACTATGCTGTACCTTATTGCTTTTTCGCTATGCAGTAATCCTCTTTCTCCATGCATAAGCATCTCTTTTCTTCCCTAATTCCGTCTTCGTGACGTGTGCTCATGCAAGCCCGTCTCCAAGCGTCCAGCGCCTGTCTCCTTACCCTTTTCTTGTCCGTCTCTGGCGGGGAGGCGGACGTGCCGTTACCGACCCAAGGCCTCGTGGTTGCCGCAAGCGTACTGCGCGCGCTCCACTTTTCGTTAAGCCCCCCCAGACTCTGTCTCGGAGGCAATAAATCCCAACTGACTCTCCAAACCCTTAATCTATGCCAAACAATTGAGTATACACTTACCTGCACCTGTGTATGGATTTGCCACCCTAGCCGCGGCGCACGGAAGAGCAGACAAAAGTCATGACTATTGAACGTGCCAAGCGGATCAAGAGGAGCCTGTGTGTGGGGTGGTGGCAGACTGTCAGGAGGGAAGTCGCCAAAACAAACAAGGTTTATCCCTTCGCGTACGGAGTTGGTGCAACAAATCCTACTCGGCCTTCTTCTCCGTTACAGGCATCCATACGCGCACATTCTTTCTACATGGTCAGCCTCAATATCTTACATGCCGCTCAAGAGTACCGTCCAAGTCTGGTCTATGACCGAAGCAAGGTCTTTGCCTGTCCTGTGTCTTGCGAAACACGCTGCGCACAAAACAATTCGGTAGTTTGCTAATTTGCGAAGTCCCCTATCATTCATCGCTCAGCAACGTACCCGGTTCTGGTTTGTTTTACCTTTCGCTCTGACCGGGCAAGGTACCCTCTCATATCATCCTTTTCGGAGATAATACCACTATACACATATGAAGCTTCCAAAGATAAGAGATCGAATCAGGAAACTAAGTTCCGGATGCAAACAAACGGTTGTTTGTTTCGTCTTCAGAACTATCACCTGCCAATATATTTGGCGATCTTAATACGTCGCTCTTATGCACTGGGTATGTCCACTTTTTTCTCTCTCTTCTCTCTTCATCTGGTCGGTAGTTGGAGATGCTTGTTAAGGACGCAACCGCTTGTGGCTTACGGCGCTATTCCCCTTTCCCCGACCGCGACTGGTTAGAGCACTGCGCCGCATCGCAAATCATGCCCTTGTTGTCTGGCGATCCAGACCTCCCCCTCCCAAGGAAACGTGACAAGCAGACGTTACTTCGACTGTGTATCAAGATGCGCCACAGTCCCCGCTCTCTTCATGGCGACAAGCAAGCCATCGGAACAACAACCGTTTAATACCCCGACCCGTTATTGCAGCTGAACGGCCACTTGTCCGAGGTGATTGTCATGATGCTACTATAACCCATGCAAGGGGCCGTTGGCGACGTTTTTGTCTCTCCTTCCTGCGCATGAAACTGTACATATGTCACACCGAAAAACCTCCCACCGTATCAGCGCACATATATGGCTCGACGTGTCGTACGAGACTTCGTATTTTCTTGTTGTTACAGTTTTTTTCTTCCCTTTCCTAGGTTCAACCCTATACCAGCCTCACTAGGCATGACGAACGATGGAAAAAGTCCTTGGCGTCGGGAAATGCGCCAAGAAGAACCCCTATAGAAGAAAACCGTTATCTGTAGCAGAATGATACATGCCACCTTTTTTTGAGGGTTCATCTGAGAGTAGTAGTTTACTAGAGGCTTTTGCTTCTGCTGTTTCTAACCACAAGAAGAAAACGAGCGCAACCAACTTCGTCTTACACAATGTCAAAGTAATCCACATATGTAGTAGAATACTAATCCCAAAACTTGTGCTACGTCCTGTCACAAGTACACTAAATTATCACACCTTACAAACTACGCCACAAGCACCGCTTCTTCTCTTACATCTCGTCGTATACTACGCAAGCACCCAATCCCCCCAACTTTTACACCAACCAACCAAACAGCAAAACAATCTCCCCCTCCCCTCCTCAAACCTGGAAATCTACAAAAAACAAGTCCACCTTTTATACCCTTCCTCCAAGCCGCACTATTCCTCCCACAAGCGCCCCAGCACCACGCCCAATACCCTCCCCCCTTCCCTGCCTTATAAAACCTTACACACACAATAACAAACAGGGTAAAAAGTTAAAATACCCGTTCGTGACGATTTTACTAGTAATGTAAAATATATAGTATAATAGAAAGAAGAACGCCCGGATATATGCCGCCCCCCTCCCCCAACAAAAAATTCGTCCGGGGGAGGGTTGGTTTCCTGTGCGTTTTGAAGAAGGGGGCCGGGACGTTTTGGTCGGGTAGTACGATTACTTATATGGAAACCTTGTAAGCCCAGGGGGGGTAAGGTTTGTGTGATGAGGATGTGTATGGGGACATTTCATAAGAGGTATAACTTATGTAAGGGTTGGGAAAGAAGAGCGGGGGTTTGGTTTGTAAAGTTTGGGGGATCCTTGGGGCTTGAAATGCTATGTGGGCGTCGCATGTACTTTTCGTTTCTAGGGTGTTCGTATTGCTGTATATAATAGGTCTGTGGGTATTGTTCGAGTCCGATTGAAAAGTAAACGGAGATTTTTTTTAACTCAAGGATGAGAAAGAGAGAGAGAAGAGAGAGAGGCTTGGAACATGAGCCGCATGTAAGATTCGAATTGCGTACAAAGAAGGGGGGGGGGGAGGGGCGCGGGTAATCGCACATCTTCCATTGCCCAATCATCCAGATCTCTCTTTCTCTCTAAGCATATCCCTATACCCAAGCCCAAATCTAATCCTAAAAAAAACAAAGAAAGAACTTGTTCTCATATTATCCTAACCTACTGCACCACATCCAACAACCCCTTCGCCTTCAAATACTCGACAATCTCCACCACACTCTCCTCCACACTCTTCTTATCACTCCGAATGTGAATCTCCGGCGCCTCCGGTGCCTCATACGGCGCACTCACGCCCGTAAACTCTGGAATCTTGCCCTCGCGCGCCTTCTTGTACAGGCCCTTGGGGTCACGCGCTTCCGCCACTTCAAGCGGGATATCGACGTAGACCTCGACGAAAGCGAGGGGCGCCTCGGAAGCATCAGAGGTGGCGGCGTGCAGGGCGCGAGCTTGCTCGCGATCGGCTTTGTAAGGCGAAATGAAGGATGTTATGGCGATTGTGGAGGAGTCGGCGAAGAGCTTTGCTACCTGTTTGTATTGTGTCAGCTTTCCTTTCTCCCCGTCCATTTCAATTCTTTTCTGTAGTAGCTGAATTGTTTTTTGGGGGGGGTTTAAGTGGGATTTGCGCAGAATACATACCTCAGCTATCCGCCTAATGTTCTCATTTCGATCCTTCTCCGAAAACCCCAAATCTTTGTTCAGCCCGAATCGCACATTGTCGCCGTCGAGTCGGTACGCGGCGAAACCCAAGTGCAGCAGGTGCTGCTCGAGCGCTGTGGCGATGGTGGATTTACCGGATGCTGAGAGGCCTGTGAACCAGATTGTGAAGCCGGTTTGCTTGCGGAATTTGTTGCGCTCGCTGCGTGAGAGGGAAGGGTGCCATGTAATGTTGCTGGAAAGGGCAGAAGTGGGTTAGCGATTTCGGCGCGTACTTTTTTGTAGGGCGCGGGGTAGAGAGATGGTGGGGGAGGGGGGGCTCACGTCGCCATTGTAGATGATGTTGCTACAAAGTCAAATTTTTGGATCGATGGGAAAAAGGCAAGAAGTTTTTGGGTCGATTGCTCAAGTGTCTTTTGTGAGTGCGACCGGTGTTTTTAGAGTGACAATTTACGGGTACACGGCTGATCAGATTTTCTCAACGAATATCTTTGGTCCCAGTAGAAACATTGGATCCCTCTAGCGTGAATGACGTGCTGCTGGGCTTTCGATGCGTGGGGAAGTAATCCTCATAGCAGGTGAATGACATTACGCACAGTAACGTTATTCATTTGTGTAATTCATCAATCAATCTCAAGTCTTCGGTTTAACTATGCATTAGATACGGAATACGATGAAAATCCCCCATGCGCTAATGGCTGGAGGATTTGAGGTTGTCCCCCAAAATGGCTATACACGAATGATTAATCGCAGTACGCGCAGAATGAAGTAGTTTTAGAACAAAGTAAATATTTAGGGAATACCTCCTGCAAAACTGGCCGCTCTCGTAGGCCTTTGTCTCAGCTCAGCGCTCCTAGCATCGCCATCCCATCCATACATAGACTGCACCTCACCCCTGCTTCCATTCTTCCTCAACGGTCCACCACTATCCCCTCCCGCTATACCCCCAGAAGTCGCAAAGTCAAAAGGTTTCCTGCGCCTGACGAGCTGGTATCCTCGATCAAGTTCTACTTCAATAGCACACCTAATCTTCAATGCTGTGACTGCTGGCCACACACTTCTCTCACCCTTTAATATCCAATAATCCATCGCTTCCCTTGTCGGGTTCTCCAGCAACTTGAAGAAATCGCTGGGGGTGAATTCAGGTACCAGAGTGAGACTAGGGCCAGGAATGTTTTCGTCGAGCAGGAACCGCCGGATTGACAGAGGAAGTAAGCCAAGCTCATCCAGCTGTTGCAACCTGTGCTGTATTTCAAGGACCACAAGACGAAGAATCGGCATACTAAGTCGCAATCTGCCGTCCTGTTTGGGGTTGGGATGGTGCAGATCAGAACGCAAAAAGGGCGCCAGATAAGGCCGTGCCTGAGAGACGATGAAATGATTCACGTTGAAGAGCTCGCCGATACGATGCAGAGGCGACTCGCGGTCACGGTAGGACGCGTGTGTGTAGGGTCGGAATGTGGTGTTGGAGGCTGGAGTCCAAGGAACAATGTTGCCCTCCTCGTCTTTGCACATCATCGTGACCGAATGATAGAGTGCCGACGAGGCCGTCGCGTTTGAGGCGAGAGCTGCGGACCAGATGAGCTTCAGCAGTCAGTATCTATTCCATCAAATGTGCCTGGGTAGACGTACAACGTTAGGAGCAGTCAGGTAGTTGAGCAGATTTGGTACGCTGCCACCACTGCTAGTCGTGACCGTGATGTTCAACACCCTCTTTGTCTTTGCGTATGCTTCCTCAAAGGTCAGGTCCCCGACATTGGCCCTCAAGAGTTCTTCGAGTACTCCAACATCGAGAAAATGGCCTTGATTCCACCATCTCTTGACACGGCGAATCATGGTCTGGAGTCGCGTGGTAACCTGAGCGCCATTCCTATATGGCCGGTTTGAGAAGGCTGTCAAATCAATGTTCCTCCCCGTCAGGAACTCGAGCAATTCATCTTCGGTATGCACGCCCACCAATGCCGCTATGAGAGCCCCAGTAGCAGTCCCGGCAATGATTCGGGGAAGTAAACCGCGCAGATGCAACGCCTTGACAACACCCAGATGGCACAGGCCAAAGACTTGTCCGCCTTGAAGCACCAGGACCGATCTCCCAAAGGCCTGTCTTGTATCATGGAGAACATCCAGCTTGGCCTGGTTCGTCAATCCCGTGTCCGAGTTCCTCGATGTAGGATATTGTGTAAGGTTCTCGATTGCGTAAGCAACCTGCGTGACGTAGTCTTCGATCAAGAGTTTTGTTCCAGCATAGGCACGGTTGTAGAGTCGCGAGGCAGTTATGTTTCCGAGGTTTCGCACGAGACCGCTGCGAAGGAGGTTGATGACGCCAAGAATGTCGTCGTCTTCTTGGGCTTCGTAGAGGGCAGAGAGACGTTGGTTGATGAGGCGATGGTCGTAGTGTTTACTCTTCGCGACCTGTCGCCTGTAAATGGCACGGTCAGTCAAATGCACAAGCGTGCGTTGAATTGCGGATAAGACAGCACACTCACCACAGGTCATAGTCAAGGACCTCATCTAGCTTGTACGCAGCAGCCTCCCATTCCTCAAACAATTTCGCATTATCAATGGCCTCCAGCAGCAGATCTCTCTGGCTCTTCTGTGTGAGCCACGCGTAGAGTTTCTTCAACATATCAGCATTACGCCCAAAAGCGCTTCAGACAACCGGACAGCTGAGACGGCGGACACGGTGGGGAAGACGTACCCTCTGCCAAAAGAAAGCTACGTCGAACAAGCACAGCAAGAAGCTCCATAGCGCCCCGGACGCGACGCTCAGCGCACCGCCCATGGCGTTTTGAGTTACTCTAGAAAGTGATCGGCTGACAAGGCCGTAATGTGGCAAGGGCACATGTTCATTCGCTGCGTCTATTGGAACGAGTTGCAGGTCGAGTGAGTGGGAACGCTTGTGGGGGTGGATGCCGACTTTCACATGCAAACCACGTCCGACAGGTACCGGCAACGCAACCCTACGTAAGCATCCGGCAGGAGTCACGGGCCGACGCGCCAACAGCTAACGACGCCACACCTCTCAATTCGGAGCCTGCGTTGAAGCTTAACAACACTACCGTCTGCCAACATTGCAACACCAATACTGTGACTTTTTATTTTTTGCTTTGGAAACATGCCTGGATCCTCACTCTGGCTATTGCCGCCATCAAACCATCCTCTTGGTAAAGTCCTGCCCGCATTGATCGACAAGACATCAAAGCAGTTTGGTTCCCCGCATCGCTTCCTCCCCCACGTCACTCTTACCTCTGAGATTTTGCCATCAACCCACGGCTCAGATGGGCAGGCATGGTTGGATTCTCTGGATTTAGACGTTGGCAAGGGTGAGGTGCGAGTCAATTTCAAATGCCTGGACAGCGAAGACTATTTTTTTCGCAAGTTGTACATTAAATGTCAAGTCGACGACGGGTTAAAGAAGCTGGCCGGGCAGTGCAGACGACATGTCGAAGGATTCTCAGACGAGAAGAAGGCTGAGCAATGGGCGAATGAAAGCTACATGCCGCATCTGAGCTTGATGTAGTAAGTGTAAATGTGACGAGTAAAGTACGCATGTGCTGAGTATTGCAGCCACGACTGTCCTGCAATAGACGCAAAGGGATTGTCATCTGTGGACATGACCGAGGTGGAGCTTGAAGGAAGCTCCCAGATGAGTGGCTGGGTAGGTGGGAGAGTGGTACTGGTGCCAACTGACAAGCCCATAGACCAGTGGGTGCCTATAGCCGAAAGATTGATTTGATGGCGCAGCAGTGTAATCCACCTGCAGAAATGTTTACTATGAACTTACAGAGTGCGGACAACACAATGCACAATTCAAAATATGAGTATTCATGTATATGTCGTTCATTACTAAACTACTATTATTACAGTGTCATAGGAAAGTCTCCTTGGTATTTCGCTTTCATGCATACTGATGGCGGTATAGTGCTCTGCACTTATTTCATGAAACCCGCCTTACCATCACCATCAGCGTCAACCTCTGTGGACGGAGTTAGCAGCCATTAATTTATACAAGCGTACTTGGCACTTACTAGGGTTGAGCTTGTCCATCAGGCTGGGCTTGTGTTTACCTGTGAAATGTTGGCCTTTCGATTCTTGCAAAAGTCTTACTTGTTCCTCTTCGGCTTGGGTGTGAGGACGAGCTTTGGACACATCTTCGGTAAGCGCTCTGGGCAGCCCGCCGTCCTCATTGGCACGATGCGCCATGTGTCCTCCATCGCTCACACCATGCGCCATTCCAGCGGAGTCCAGCGTACCTGTAGCGCCAACATGTTCTGGTTCAGAGTTAGCAGAGTTCTTGTATAGGAATCAAACAATGGACGTACTACTGCGGGAGGTATCATCCAAGTCGTGAGAGCGGTTGCTCGACATATCATGAGCATCGACCCTGCCATCGTTGTTGCGGTCCAAGGGGTTGCTGGTGGTTCCGTAGGCGCCAGTGCCAACGGTGCTGGTGTTGTGGTGAGAACCGCTCTTGGTCAGGTCGTGAGCATCAACCTTGCCGTCGTTGTTGCGGTCCAAGGGGTTGCTGGTGGTTCCGTAGGCGCCAGTACCGACAGTGCTGCTGTTGTGGGAGCTGTGAGAGCTGCCTTTGGTCAGGTCGTGGGCATCAACTCTACCATCGTTGTTGCGGTCCAATGGGTTCTTGGTGTGAAGATCGCCGTGACGGGCGGAAGAGTGGTCGTGAGTGGTCTTGTGGTGAAGACCCTCAGCACCAGCGAGAGTGCTGACGCCACCAATGTTCTTGGGAACACCCTCAAACTCGTCGTAGCGCTCCTCACGTCCAGTCAGGGATCCACCTTTGGCCTTGAACTGCTCCATGGTCATGGCGGGCAGGGCGGTAGTCTCATGGTGAGTGGCCTTGTTGTGGTGTACCTCGTGAATAGGAACAGTGGTGTGAACAACGCTGGGCTGGATCGTCTCCTTCTGAACTACTGGCTGGATCGTCTCATGGATGTGCTTTTGTGTGTTAGCTTTGAAGGCAGAAAGGATGATGTCTTGCTGTACTTACGTGGTGGACGTGCTCTCCGCCAACGGTGGGAGCAATGCTTTGGCTGTGGGTGGTCTCCTCGACGCGCCTCTCGTCGGCAAAGCGAGCCTGATCTTGAATGAGGGTCCTCTTGGTAGCATCAGAGTCACGGTGGTCAAACTCGCGGTGCTGGACTGCTCCAAGCTTGGCAGTGTGTGTCTCGGGGAGGACCTCGCGGTCATGGACGGGCTGAACAGTGCGGTGATAGTGATCTTGGTGGACCTCCCTGTCAATGGCAGTGTTGATCTCCTCGTGTACATGGGGCTTGACAACCTCGTGGTGTACGGCGGGGGCAACGGCCTCGTGGACAGTGGTGTCGTGGTGGCCGGACCTGCCCATGAACTCGGTGATGGCTGCCTTTGCTTTATCCATTTTGAAGTTGTAGTGGTGTGATTATCTGTGGTAGAGGGGGCTAAGTTGGTGTATAGAAGAGTGGATTGATTTGTTGGAGTGTGGTGTGTTGTTGTAATGACGCTTGCTGAAGTTGACACCGGGTGTTTTTATACATGGAGGGAGGCAGGAGGGAGAATGCACAACGACGTAATTGACATATCAGAGTCTGGTCAATCGAGAAGCAACAGCCCCCGCCATGTGTGCCACAGGGCCGGCAGGGCGCATCATAGGACAGCAATAGTGGGATGATGGCAATGGCCTGGTTCCCCATCCACGACTCCAGCGACGCCAATTGGGCCATGCACGGCGGACGCTACCAGCAGCTGACGGCGTTCGCTCTCCGCGGCGTCTGGCACTAGGAGACGCTTGGGGCAGTTCGTTGTACGCCTACCGAAGAGCTACGCGGTACGATGTAGTCATACTGCGTATCTCCGCTGCATACAAACAGGAATTTGGTCTCAGGCTCAAGTTGCTCGCACCGTACTCACTGTTGTCTCTGGTCAGGGTGGTGTGTGTGCAAGCAGCAGATGAAAGATTGCATAGATGGATGGATGGATGCAGCAAGCGTGCGATCTGATCGATCGACGCTAGGATGACCCGCCGCCCCTTGTCGGGCAGGGGATTCGTGCACCATCCAAGCGACAAGTCCCCCAGACGTATTCCAGCATACGCGCCTCCGCCTCTGCCCATTGCAAGCTGCGTCATGATGCCATTTCTTTGTTGAGCTGCCCGCAGAAGATAGCCTGTCCCTGTACGCGTACGGGCGTCTCTGCGCCTGTTTCGGAAGTCCCGGGCGCGTGGCTCCAACTACTAAGGGCCATGGCTAAGGTGATCGCCCACCGTACCGTGCTGATCAACTGCAACTGAGGGAGAAAACCGCCCACGACCACACTTCCCGTCGTTGTCGTCATGCCGCCAGGATCTCCACCATGACATGCCCGTTCTGCAATTATAGTCCCATCCTTTGACTTTGTGCAAGCACTGTGTATGGCTCCATCTATCTATCTACACCACGGAGGCAGCCATCGCTCGTAGAACAAAGACACGTACCTCTACAAAAGAGGATACCTACGTCATTTGCAGACGCCAATCCATGCCATTTCCCATGCTGTCTAGTCGGCGACGACAGAGTGAGCCCCATTGAAGATGCAAATCTGGCTCGACATGGCATTTTGCAACAAAGGGGATGGGTGGGTGGCATCGCCCATTCGAGCCAGCAAAGCTTTTGCCTGTTGTTCCTTTCCGACTGGCGTTGTCTTTGCTACGGATATAGAAAGCAGCCTTCTAAAGCGCTGCTGTGTCCTGAGTTGTGCAGCGCTTTGAACCTTAGGAAGGCGTTACAGATACGTCATTCAGCCACATTCCAGCCACTGCCACACGAAGAAATAGTCATAGAAGGCCTAGAATCTGCCACCCCACTGTCACCAGCACATGTACCGTTCATCTAGCCAACTACACACATCGCTTCCACTTCACCTTGCAGTCAACATGAAGGAAAAGATCAAGGCTGTACTCCATAGAAGGAAGGGGTCAACACCAACACAATCGCCCCGTGCCTCATATGAGCAGTCTGAAGGGGTTAGCCCACGTGCTGAAAAGCTTCCTAGCTCTCCCAGTCAACGCCATCGACGGAAATCTTCGGCTTCTCAGAGCGCCTCTCCTCGAACAGAATATGCCCAACAGCCCAAGACCACTCACGCAGCTACCCTGCCACTTGAATTTGTCCACAACACCCTGTCTGACAACATCAAATCCGTCAATTCTTCCTCTGATGAAAACACACCCATTGCCCCTACACTTGCTCCTAGCAAACAGTCGATAGTGGCAGATGCCAATGTCGGCCACTCAGCATCGTCTCATGGTGATCTATCAAAGCCCCTCCCACCGACACCAAGTATGCTCGATGCCGCAGAAATACTATCACAGATAAGAGAAATAACTTGTGTACAGGTTCCACCAGCTACAATCACGGCGATGCTCAGGACAAACTGGTGGGAAGGGCTGTCACCACCAATGGCAGCATTGTAGGGGGAGCGCAACCATACGACCTAGAAGACCTTGCAAGGCCACCACAGAGCTTAGAGAGAGAACACCATGTCCACCAGGATATGGCTGTCAAGCCTGCGGGATTCGATTCTACGAGCGATAGGCACGGTGTGTATGGCGGTGATGAGGAGTGGCAGGTCAAGCAGAAATCGATGCTCAATGGCATAGTTGATTTGAATGACACGGTTGAAACAGACAGAGAGACATCATGGGCACCTGGTAAGTCAGGCTTGTCTTGCCGTTGGGCAAAGCTCCTAAACACGATATACGCAAGGTCATCTGACAAGAGTTACAACAGCGGTCACACATGAGGTCGTCAAGCCACACGAGCACGAAATTGTCCAGCACAAAATCTACCGAGAGATTCACAACTATACTTACTACCACCGACTGCAGCCTGTAATGCAGACCGAAGTTCTCCCACCTCGTCACTTTATCCCCAATCCCGATGGAGAGGGCCTAATTGAGATTTCTGCTGATGAGCTACCGTCTCGTACAGGCAAAAATAGGTGGTGGGATATTGTGCAAAAGGAACCCGTGCTTCCAGAAGCTCCGTTCCAATGGCGCACCGAGCCGCAAATCATTGAGGGAAAACCATACATGACGGACGAAGGCTTTGAGCGTAGAGAAACGACCATCATATACCCACCAACGCTGGAAGATATGTCGGGTTACGACGGAATAGTGCAGCCAGTTCACTTCGACCACAAGACTGGGAAGCGCTGGCTGGGAGAGCCGACAACCATGGACAAACTACAGCGACAGGTGGACGGTACAAGCGAAGAGGATTTTATGACGATGAAGAACATCACGGCCGACTTGCCTGAAATACCCAACAGCCCGTCGGTCAAGCGAAGGCCCGTTGGTAGAGACTCGCTATAGCGGGCAGTCAGCAGAAGAAAAGTATAGTTGAGCTCCGAGGCATGGTGCAGGTGGCTGTAATTGTGTCGATTGAGCTGCAGTAATTTCTATTTGTAGTACAGTGTTCAGCTTGGTCCTCATGCCAGGTGGATGCTGAATACATGTGTATATTGCAAACGACTGGTTCCTTGTTTGGAGTGATTGAGATGCGGAAGTTTTGCGCAGTGTCTCCAAGTGGCGAAAGTAAATGCATGGCAATTATCTCGGTTTAGTGCTCGCCGGAGCCATGGTCTTGGGTGTGCGTGAACAGCAAATGTGCGCCAAGTCTGCGCAAAACGTGGGGTGCGTTACTTATTTGTACTTACAAACACCTGCACCGGTCAACCGGCGACGATCCCGATGTCAGTTTGTGGGGGGCACAGAACAGCTCTCAGTACGTCTCGAGGCTGCCAAGCTGATAACAGAGCGTTATCTCGTCGCGCTCTTTTGTCTGATGGCAGACCCGCTCCCAGGATGGCACCCTTCGTATGCTTCGGCAAAGCAGTCGAGTATGCCGAGTGCCGAGTTCGAGAGTGGCCTCAGCCCGGGTTCAGGCGTGAAGGCAAGGTGCAGATAAGCCTTGGACAGACGGCGGAGAAAAAGTAAGATTGGAAGTAAGCCTAGAATGCAATTGCTCGACCCCGTGGTGCCAAGTTGGCTTGAGCCATTGGGATTGCATTGCTCGGACCGCCATTGGAGAAGCTTTAGCAGCCAAGATGCACATGAGGGGCAGAGCAGTTGTGGTTCCAGAGGCTGGCGCAAATACATCGGGGAGACCGATAAGAAACACGAGACGGCAAAGAGGGTGACATTGCACCGTACCGCCCAAGGGAAAAGCCGTGTCGAGCTCCTCCATGTGCGCGCCGGTGCTTCTCCGCATTCTCCGCTAGGTAGTATAGGTAGTAAGTACTACAGTCGGCTCCATATCCAGACCCCTGCCCACAAACAGCAGTTATCGCTTCTTCTCCACCCACAAACAGGGCACACTGCACTAGACACGGGATGCATGGCCCCCTCCACAGCTGAGCCTTTGTGCATCTGGAAGAGGGCTGTGTGAGTTGGAAAAGAGCCTGCTGCAGCAAGGCTGCGGCAGACAGCACAGCGCCCAATGGCGGTTCGTTCTTTTGCTATCCCCAGCCTGGGAGACGGACGTACACTAAGTCATACTCTGGTAAACGCCCAGGAGAGCCAAGAACTACTAGTGCAATCGGTTGCCTTCACCGCGGTGGAACACATGCAGGGTTGCCTGCTCACGCTAGGGTTGCTGAAAGATTTATTAGCACGGCACATGTACTCGTATCGTTCGCTTCCCGTTTATCGTCGTTTGACCGCCGACAGCCCAGCATTTCGTCCATCAACCGACACTTACCCCGACTAACGGTCCATGGCCTTTGTCGTGCAATTCTTCGCCCTACTCTTAAAAACTATACTCTGAGAGCCCGAGGTCAAGTCTTAGGCTCCCAGCAGACATGGCTTCTACCGGCAAGGACTTTGAGCCTGGCACTTCATACGAGCCGAAGAAGCAGGGCTACCATGTCGATGAAGAGAACAACAACTACGATGCTCGCCCAAGTAGCGTGGAATCAGTGAGAGTCGTCAGCGACAACACCCATCGCAAGCTCAAAAGCAGACATATTCAACTCATAGGCATCGGTGGAACCATTGGCACCGCCCTCTATGTCCAAATTGGTCGAGGCCTCATGAATGGAGGGCCTGCTTCCTTGTTCATCGCATTTTCCTTGTGGTGAGTTACGCGCAAGATTCCTCACCCACAAGACCAATGGCACACTCCACACTATAAACGGATCCAGAGCTGACTTTGAACAGGTGTACTGTCATTTTGGCTGTGACACTTAGTGAGACTCTCAATTCCTCAATCCCAAATAACTTGTGCCCATTGTGACAATGCCCAAGCACTTTCCGACCCGCCCAGAGCCACTCATCCCATCGCTTATACCATCGTGAAGGAGCCCCCCAGCTAATGCGCCTCAATAGGCATTGCCGAAATGGTTACTTACCTCCCAATATCTTCGCCATTCATTCGCTTCGCTGGACGCTATGTAGACGAAGCCTTCGGCTTCGCAGCTGGATGGAATTTCTTCGTCTTCGAAGCAGCCCTGGTACCCTTTGAGATTGTGGCTTGTAACGTCATTATCGGCTTTTGGAGCGACGCTGTACCCACTGGTGCCATTATCGCAATCGTTCTTGTGCTCTATGCGTACGTAGACCCATGTACCATCCGATATTTGACATGGGACACCAAGAGGCTTTTTGGTATCAGACTGTGAATCGCAGACCATACACATTACATTGTTTTTTGGTCAATGATGCCCAGGCTATACGCTAGCTCTCAAGTCACATCAAACAAGCCCATCCGTTCTGAAATACCCCATGGAAATTTGTTAGAGAACCAGGGCTAACCAAGCACAAGTTTCATCAACATGATGGCCGTAAAATGGTACGGAGAAACCGAGTTCTACGCTGCAGTTGGAAAAGGTAGGAATTTCTAAACAAGAAAAACTCCCCAACAAGTTGCTAACCCCCAAAAGTCCTACTGATTATCGGTCTCCTCATTTTTACCTTCATCTCCATGTTAGGCGGCAACCCGCAAAAAGACCGCTACGGCTTTCGCTACTGGAAGAACCCAGGAGGTTTCACAGAGCTCTACTATGGCGGCGAACTAGGACGATTCCTCGGCTTCCTCCAATGCCTAATCCAAGCCTCCTTCACCATCGCAGGACCCGACTACGTCTCCATGGCCGCCGGCGAAACCGAAAATCCCCGCAAAGTCATGCCGCGCGCCTACAACGCCGTCTTCTACCGCCTCACCACCTTCTTCGTGCTCGGCTCCCTCGCCGTAGGCATCAACGTGCCATACAACGACCCGGAACTCATCAACGCCTTCAAACTAGGCAAGCCCGGCGCCGCCGCCTCGCCCTACGTGATTGCCATGAACAGACTCCGCATCGAAGGACTCCCCCACGTCGTCAACGCCGGCGTCCTCGCCTCTGCCTTTTCCGCCGGAAACTCGTACGTCTACTGCGCTTCGCGCTCCCTCTTTGGCCTCGCGCTCGAAGGCAAGGCACCCAAGATCCTGACCAAATGCACAAAGCAAGGTGTGCCCTTTTACTGTGTCTTCGTCGTCTTGCTCATCTCACTGCTATCCTTCTTGCAGCTCAGCGAGAACTCGGCCGTCGTGCTCAATTGGTTCGTTAGCTTGGTGACGGCTTCCCAACTCATTAATTTCAGCGTCATGTGCTTTACCTTCCTGCGCTTCTACAAGGCTTGCCATGTCCAGGGCCTCGATCGCGATACCCTGCCCTACAAGGGCATTCTGCAGCCGTATGCCGCGTGGTATGGTCTTGTGTGCACTTTCATCATGACGTTTGTGGGCGGTTATACCGTGTTTTTGAAGGGCATGTGGGATGTGCCTTCGTTCTTGTTTTCGTATTTGATGTAAGTCTTCTTTTTTTTTCTTTCGTCTCCTCTAGCATCCTTAACCTCTCGTTTTTTTTTTACCTAATTGCTGACATGCTCTTTCAAAAGGGTCTTTATTTTCCCCGTTCTCGTCATCGGATGGAAGATTTTGAAGAAGACGAAGTGGGTTACGTCTGAAAAGGCGGATCTTATTTCTGGGGTGGAGGAGATTGAAGAGTATCATCGGAATTTTGTAGAGAAGCCTGAGCCGAACCCTTTCAATCGCTTTTTGGACAGGATTTTTGCGTAAACGAGAGAAGTGTAGGGGTTTGGCTGGGGAGAAGAAAGTGGGTGTGCTGTTTTCTTTTTAGGGAAAACTTTTGTTCGCTCTTTTGGACAGGCACTATGCTTGAATGTTGACGATGAATTAGAACCTGGCTATATTGAAGTAGTTAGGTTTAGTTCTCAGTATACAAGAAAACGAGGCCAAGATGTCTGAATAACGATTTACAACTATCAATCTTGCTATCTCATAAATGCACTTTAACAAGACTTTCCAGGCCCTGAAAAAGACTATTTCTCTTCCAGCAGAAAGAAATATGGAAATTGTTACTAAAAAAAATCCATAATCTTTAGTCAAGCCCTCAAAACAAAAAAGTGGGTATATCATCCACATCCACCGTCCTCCTCTTCTTCTCCTTTTCGCCCTCCTTCTTCTCCCGCTCAGCCTTGCGCTTCGCCAGCCTCTCCGCAACATCTTTGCTCCTTACACTGCCCCCAGAGCTTATTTGCTGCGCCCCCATTTCTGCAGATGAACTTGCTGACCGCGCAGGCAGGCTGGGCTTTGCCATTTCTATAGAATCAAAGGAGCGAGTGGGCTTGCTGATAACCGGTGTAGGAGACGTAAGTGGCTGGATGGAAGGACGCTCTAGTGAGACTTTTGGTGAGGGCTGCGATTTGCTTGGTATCCAGTCGTCGAGCATGTCAAAGGGCTTTGCGAGACTGGTTCTTGAGCGTGGTTTTGCTGGGGTTGGGGGAGGGGTGGGTTTGGTGTAGGTAGGAGGCAGTGCAGGCTTAGTGAAGATAGGGGAGGAGAGTTTGGTAGTGAGACTGGGAGTGGATGCACTGATCGGTCTGCTTGGGCTGCTGCTGATTTTTGATGGGGCCGATGTGGCGGCTTTGAGGGCTGGCTTTGCTGGGGGCCGTACGGTATCGAGATCTTCGCTATCGCTGTCTGATACTCCGCGTGCCACTGGTTGCTGCTTTGCTGTGCCCCCTAGAGCTCTTTTGGAGACGGCATGTGGCAGCGTAGTCAGATTACGTGACACATGGGTTGAAAGTGATGACCTTTGCTCTTGCGCCTCATCGTCGTCTTGAGATGCAAAAACGTCCTGAAGAGCTCTCTTTTGCTTCTGCTCTTGAACTTTGGCTCTATCTTTCATGGCCCCAATATCAGACATTTTCGCGTTGGGTACTACCGGTCTTGGTACATCAGCGCCTTTCTTCTTTTCCTCAATCATCTCCTTGAGTTTCTCGTATTCTGCAATGTGCAAGTGTCGAGTGAATAGCTTTGCCGTCTCGAGAAATTCGTCTTCAACCATCATCCATTCATCGTCGCGTAGGTCGAATTTAGAGATGGCGCCGTGCATATATTCAACACGTGGTTGCTCGAGATCTTCCGCCAGAGGTGGAGGTGATGATGAAACTTCACGTCCTTTCCTCCATGCATCTTTTCTTCTCGATTTGTTGCCTGGTGTTGATGGTTCTGCTGGCAGATTGGGAAGATCATCATCTGATTGGTTGGCTTGTCGATTTCCTTTGCTACTGCTGGCCGCTATCACATCTTCCAAGAAATCGTCGTCATTTTCATATGTGCGCGATGTAAGATCTGAATATGGGATTGCTGCTTTTGCTCCTGCTGCGTCTTTCTTGGCCCATGGAAGTCGACGCGGCATGGTGCTTGTGTAGGCGGCGGATCAGCTAGATATTTGGCAAAAGGCGGGGGTCGATGTCGATCGATGTAGTTGAGCGCGACATTGTGAGAGTATCTACTCAAAAGCAGCACGAGCCATATACCGTTGGCGAAGTACCTCACTCTGTGAGTGCTTCAAGCCCTTTAGACGCATGGGAGCGAAGGTGAATGGCTTGCTCCCGCCTGGCCACGTGCTATGACGCGTTTCCGATTTCCGCTAGACCCACTCTCGCCTGTGCGCCCTTCCAATCTAGCTGCTGGCACTTCTTGTACTGTGCTCTGCGCCCTCAAATTAACACGTTGCACTTCCACCCAGTTCTACGACAATCGATGTTTGCCTAGACAGCGTGTACTCATGGAGGTTCTGCGTGCTCAGCTGCTGGCACCGAGTTGGTATAAGCTCGACGCTACAGCTTCACAGCACAACGCATAGCCGCGAGCGTGACTACCTCACGATTGCATTTACCCCCTTTCGTCTAGGAATCGTTGAATGATTCAAAACTAGTTATCAGCGCTAGGCCCCTGCTCAGCAGCACCTAGGCTGCGTTACCGTTGTTGACTCCAAACTACTGCCGTTCCCATCTGCCATGTCCATGTTCCGAAGGCCAGGCGACTCATCGTCCAGCTCGGAGTCGTCTGATGAAGAAAGCGAATATGAAGAAGAGAGTCAGCTGAAACAGGACAGTGTCCTGTCAAGGATCAATACTCTAGATTCCACTTCCTCAGGACAACCCATCCAGCCCCATCGGCCTCCTCTAGATCCACGCCAAAGTTCAACGCAGAACGTTCGCGATCTTTTGTTACATTCGTTGTTGGAAGAACGAACCATTCGGGAGGTTGCAGCCCAGCTAGGCAAAGACCCGTCGGACCCTGAAGTCCAGCGATTGGGTAGAGCCTCCTACAAAGAAATTGCCCGTCAGATTTCCAACAATGTCGACGATGCTTACGCTAGCGATGAAATGCAAAGCCATCGGAGCACGGCAAACGAAGGAATCAACCGGCTTACCCGAAGTAATTTAAACAAGCTATCCATCATCCCCGAAATAGCTTCACAAGCTCTGGTTGCACTACCAGGTAATGGGCTGCCCCAGCATCTACCTCAACAACCATCCCTAGGCTTCGATGTCCTCTCTGGCATCTCAGGCCCAGTTCAGCTTCAGCTTCGGGGCTATCCTCATCTACAGACTGATCGATACATTCGAGAGTTTTCAGAATTGGAGATTGTTGGTAAAGGAGGATATGGCAAGGTTTTCAAAGCCAAACACAAACTTGATGGGTCATTCTATGCAGTCAAAAGGATTCCAGTGAGTCCTGCTAAGGTTGCAAGAATACAAGAGCATGGACCAGAAGAGTTGGAAAGCATGCTTGAGGAAGTTCGCTCGCTTGCTCGATTTGATCACAACAACATCATTCGGTACCATAACGCCTGGCTCGAGTTTACTACATCGTCCACTGAGACCACCGGCGTTCCAGACATCCCAATGCTTCGAGACGACCGTCTTTTAGAGGACCGAGCTGCCTTTCCACCCTTCTCTGGAGAAACCAACGACATTCATTCTAGGCTGGATAGCCTAGGCTTCGATGACTCTCCCATTAGAACTGAGAACAGCAACAGCGCTGGTATTGTCTTTGAGTTTAGCGAGCCCAGAGAAGGATCAGCTGGACTTCAGAGCGAAAGCGCCAATATCTCTATTAAGGAAACCTTTACACGGACCAAACGCAAAACCCGACGTGGCAGCCAGGCGAGTCAGATGACAATAGCAACAATCTCATCAACCAAGTCCCGGATGAGCGCTGTTGAGGACGCAGACGAAGAGGAAGATGATGATATCGAGAACATTCCCAGGTCGCACATGCCGTGCTCCCACGAAACAATCTCTGAAATGTCAGACAGCATGATCTCGAACAGCGACGTGCCCCACCACCTTGTGCAAAACCGAGCTCTCGGACCAGTCCTCATGCTCAACGTGCAAATGAGCCTCTGCGAAACCAACCTAGCTTCGTTCCTCTCGTCCGAACAATCCGGATCCATTGGACAGAAAACCGGTCAACATTGCTTCCACTCCTGCGTATCCCTTGAGCTACTCAACAACATCGTGGCAGGAGTAGAATACCTGCACGCCCAGGGCGTCGTCCACCGCGACCTAAAACCCGCCAACGTCTTCCTCTCGCTTTCCACTGCGCGTCACCCCCCATACGGTTCCATCGACATGTCAAGCTGCAAATCGTGTCCCCAGCGCGATCACCTGCACATGACACCCCGCATCGGTGACTTTGGCCTCGTGGCCGCGTTAAGTGGGAGTTGTACAGTTCCCGATACATGTTCCAAGCCAGTAGGCACCGAATTCTATCGCCCATTAGCGAGTAGCGGTGTCAACGAGAAACTCGATGTTTTTGCGCTGGGCGTGGTGGCGTTTGAGATGCTGCACAAGTTCAGCACGAGGATGGAACGTATAGCTGCTCTGACGGAGCTCCGCAGAGGCCTTTTTCCAGGAGATTTCGCGCAGGATCATGGAGATGTTGGTGGAGATGTTCAGACTTTGATCAGTGGTATGATACATGGCGACGAAGAACAGCGTTTGAGCTGTGATGAGGTCAAGGAGGAGATTAGGAAGTTGGTGCAGCGATTAAAGGTTTAACTTCTTTTGTTTGGTTTGCATGCACAGCATCGAGGAGCGTAGATACCCTAGTAGAATAGTAGTAGCATGGACACATTTTCAGCGTTCGTAATCCGTGCATGTGCATGATGGAACTTGTGTTCCCATCATTTGCTTGAAGCTACCTAATTGTATAAAATTTGTTTATTTGTATTATCTACGTACCTCACTATATGCCTTATCTATGTTCATGTATATACATACCGATTATCCAGACGCCTCATGTCGAGTTTCCCGCTCGCACGCTAATTCTATCATTTACAGTTTGATTACTAGAAATGAAGCGAGGAGAAGAAAAAAAAAGATACGCCAGGACAACCGGTGTCCTTTCCCCCAAAAATGCGCCCAAATGAATCATGATAATAAAACCCAAACGCCTCATGCATTCCTCATATCCTTCTGTGCATCCAGTCGTGTACAACATCAAACAGCTGACCCAGCTTAACCCCGTCGTCGTGACCCTTGACATTAAGCACCTTGACAGCACCCCTCTTTTGACCGCCATCGCGCAGTGTCAGCTCCGTCAACGGGGGCATGGAAACCAGCATGTCCCTCCAGGACCCGTGCGTATTGCCGGCAACACCCTCGCACGTAATCCAATGGTTGAAGTCCATGATCAGAGGGTGAAACACGATTTCCTGACTCGTGCGGATGAGACCTATACAGCGTCTCGAGAGGGAGATCTCGTTGCGTACGCCTTTTGAAATCCGGGTGCCAAGAGGCTGGGTTCCTGACTCGATGCTATGTGGCGTGACGTGGACTTCGAATTCAAACGTCGTGGGGACGAGGTTGTAGATTTGCAGGCTGCGCGAGGGCTTGAGATAGAGCATTTCGGAAAGCAGAGGTGAGTCGCCTGGAACCAGGGCGCGCCATGATTTGCAGATGCGCTGGCACCGGACGAGCTCCCAGAACTCGAGGTAGAAGAAGATGTGCTGCAAGACTTCGGCGGGGAGGTCGCTGATGCCGCGCTTATGGGGGTGCGTGTGGTGCGAGGAGGATGGGTGGAAGAGTTGGCGCATGCGATCGGCGTAGTTACCCACGCTGCTCCTGCGGATATCTCGCGAAGGATCAGAATCGCCGCGAGATCGCGTGAACATTGCTATGGGGTCTGAGGGGAGGCCGGTCATGGAGGGGCTGCGAATGGAATGCCCCGAGGCATTCGGCTTACGTCGGCCTGTTGTTGTGTCTTTGAGCATATCGGAGAAGCGACTGAAGGCTGAAAGGTGGGATTGGTGCTGTAGGTCCATCATGATTGTTTGGTTGGCGCTTGCTTTGGCCCGTCCAAGGCTCTCGGGTTCGAATGGTACTTCGGGATGTTGCGTCTTTCAAAGGGCTAGTCTTACAAGGCAGCCAAGCCACGAAATGTCGTCACTGCTACCGCTATCGGGATGCTGGGGATGCGCCGGTTTGTGCGACGAGCTTTGTTTGCGTATAAGGAACGGGATGTTTCTGCGTCTACGGGTAGTCGGCGCGTACCAAAAAGAGGGTGTTTATTGTATCGAAGTCGGTGTATATGGAAGCTTTCAGAAAACAATCATTGACGTGGATGCAGCTGACATGGCATTTACACTAGCCCAAAGGGGCCGATGCGCGGCGGACTGCATGGGGATGCCGGAAAAGCAAAGTCGGGTCACTTTGGAGACCAGCATGTTTGCTTGGTTTTCTGTGGTGCATGACACAAAGTGAGGTTGACGCTTTGTTCTTCTGCTACGCTACTAGGGTAACGTGCCACTTATTTTGCCGATGTTGTCCATTGAAAACACACCAATGTTCCGTCTTTGCGTATGTTACAAGATTAATTCCGTCGGGGTGATATGCTATTGTTCTACTGATTTACACGTTTCTGACTATAGCAGCTCGAGACTAAGGCCATAGTGAATGCCTTTTGCTTGCAACAAGGATGGCTCGGCTTGGTCGAGCAATTGCCAAGCAGCGTAAAAAGCCCGCCCAGCTTGAAACTAACTTGATGTCGGACCTTTGGAACGTCGTGTTATGTTCATGCCTAGTCTGGTTTCCAGACGCATGGTCTTGTTGCTGGTATGAAGTCGTTGAGAGATCATCCCCACCCAGGGTATTGGTGGGGCGTTGTTGTGCGCAGCGTTCACTCAGCTCTCTTCAGCCAACTTCAATGGCTGCCAATGCGCCAATGACCTCTTCAGCAACCCCGCCATTCTCTACTACCATCTTGGTCACCTGCGCAATCAAACTCCTCTTCATGCCGCCCCGAGGTGGTGTCCATACGCCTGATGTCGCCAGCAGCTCGCGCTGCGTAAGGGCATCGGCAGTCGACGTGGGAGCAGTACCGCCAGTGGCAGTATTCATCGAGTTGGGCACACCTGGTGGTGTGAGATGGGACGGAGGATCAATAGTTCGTATCGAGACGATGCGCGCACCCGTAGCGGAGTTTGTCGAATTTGTGCATGCGACGGCAAGGACAGCGTCTGCAACTGCTAGCTCCTCCGGGGCCGGGTCGAAGATGATGTTTGCGCCAACGGCCATGGCTAGTATGATGACGGGTGGCTTCCCTAGTTGAGGCGCAGTCTTGTTTGTTCCTGCCTGCTTGGGGTACAGGGGCACGGCTGCGTCCCAGTCGTCGTCGAAGAGCGGGTCTTCGTCTTTTTCCGACTTGAGCGCGGGGAGGCGTGTGGTGAGAAGGGCAAGGTGGGAGGTCATGGAAAGCATGGCAAGCGGGTAGGAGAGGGGCGGCGAGAGCATGAGGATCTGGCATGTGTCAGAGGGAAAGCTGGTGGCGGGGTCATGGGGTGTGTATGGCTCCTTACGTCGATGTATAGCTTCCAGTGAAAGCGCCTATTGATGTAGAGCCGGTCCTTGAGCTCCCCACTCGCAAGCAGGCTCTCGGAGAGCATCGAGGCGAGGAAGACGGGCAGGGCGTCGTCCTCTCGGAAGCCTGGTATCTCGACGGTCATGTCGACCCACGCATTCTGGCCCTTGGCCTTGTTCTCGTCGGCGCCGTCGCCCATGTCTACATCTTCTGGCTCGCCCAGGGTCGGCAGCTGGCTTGTCTTTTCCACCTCGGCCTTGACGCCGACCAGGGCCTCTGTGCCATCCTCGAGGGCAATGCGCGCACTGCCGTTTGCAGTGGGCAAGACGTCATACTCTGCGCGCATGGAGCGAAAGTCGCGGGGCCCTTTGGTGACATCGCGGCGGATGGGGGGTGTCTGTGTCAGGGCCCTGCGCAAAAAGAACAGCTCTACGGGGGAGAAGCTGACGAGGGCGTGCTGGGGCGCCATGGGGGGCGGGTGGTGGAGGGCGACGTGGAGTTTGCTGGTTGCTCTGCTGGGTGCGTATTTCTTTGCACTGGAATTGCGAATTGCTGCCACCCCCCGGTCCCACGGCTAGCGGCCCCGGTCGTTTGGCTGCAGCGTCACTCCCTGGGCGGTATGGCGTGCAAGCTACCTCGCGCGACAACACCAACGTGCAGTCCAAGTGCCGCCGACTGACCGCTGGTCTCGCGGAACACGGCCGGCTGCCCTTTGTGCATTATCTATACCTTTGCCAGAGGCCCCCAACAAAGGGCGCTCGCCATATATTCCAGCCGGGGCGAGGCCATGCCACTGCGATCCACGCCGTACGCTACCCCGTCACACGTACCGCGCGTCCCCCATGTCACCCCCGGCCTCCAAGCGGCATAGCGGTAATGGCATCACCACCATCGACAAGCTCGACTATCCTTCAAACCCCGCGCGTCGCCCTCTCCTAAACCCCGACAGCGACACCGAGTCGCAACGACGCAGCCAGGGCACCAGCTACGCCGGCAGTTTCTTTGAGCAGGTTGCCGAGGGCATCTACGAACAGGACCGCGTCAAGATGCAGCGCGCCGTCCTCCGCTGGCTCAGCTTTGTCTGGGCCATCGTCATCTGCCTCTGCGCCGGAAGCATCACCGCCTTCTCCCTCTATGGACATTTGTTCCAGTCCAAGTTGCATTACACCCAGGTCCAGGTCAACGCCGTCTCTATTGGGGCCGAGCTCGGCCTGTACCTCCTCGTCCCCATCTTTGGATACCTCTGCGATCGTCTGGGTCCTGGCGTCCCCGCCGGTCTCGCGGGTATCCTCTTTGGCGCTGGCTACTTCCTGGCTGCATTTGCATACCGGAGCGGCCCGCCACCTGCAGCTGGCGGCCATGGATGGCCCTTTGGCATCATGATCCTGGCCTTTGCCTTTGTCGGCATGGGTACGAGTTGCATGTATTTATCTGCCGTCACGACATGCGCAAAGAACTTTGGCCGCGGTAACAGCAAGGGCGTGGCCCTGGCGGTACCTATTGCTTCATTTGGACTGAGCGGCATGTGGCAAAGCCAGGTTGGAAGCCGCTTGTTGTACGAGAGGAACGCCGATGGAACCAGGGGAGATGTCGATGTCTTCCGCTTCTTCCTTTTCCTGGGCACCCTGCTCTTTTGCGTTGGCACTGTCGGCTTCTTCGCTCTACGCATCGTCGACGAGGAAGAGATGATTGACGAGGCTGTTGACGAGCTCGAAAGATCTGGTCTTCTACAGCGTGACGGCTTCTTCCACCAAGCTGCACAGCACCATGGCTACGGCACCATGGAAACGCAGGACCTCTCTGACTCGACCTTTGACTTCCTACAGTCTGAAGCCGAGCGCCTGAAAGCAAAGGCAGAAGAGGAGGCCCGCAAGAAGACGTGGCTTCTAAACGAAGAGACGCGTCTTTTCATCATGGATCCGACCATGTGGTGGCTGGCAGCCGGCTTCTTCCTCGTGACTGGACCCGGTGAGGCCTTCATCAACAACCTAGGCACCATTATCGAGACACTCACACCTGCCAACGTCGCGACCAATACCTCACCAGCCACCCACGTGTCTATTGTCGCCATCACTTCGACCCTCGCTCGCTTGGCTACCGGCACACTCTCTGACATCCTTGCTCCTGTTGCACAGTCGCATCAGCATCGCCGCAACCCAGAGTCGGTCGCAAACTCTGTGTCATCCCTCCCACCTCCTGAGCAGCCCCGCAAGTTCACCGTGTCTCGCATAATTTTCCTTGTAGCATTCGCTTTCTTCCTCTCCCTCGGACAGCTCCTGCTCGCAACGGGCTGGGTCCAGAACCACGCCTCTCGCTTCGCAGTGGTTTCCGCTCTCATTGGCGCGGGCTATGGTGCCGTGTTTTCCCTCACTCCCATTGTTGTCTCTGTCGTCTGGGGCGTCGAGAACTTTGGAACGAATTGGGGCATTCTGGCCATGACGCCTGCTGCAGGCGCGACCCTCTGGGGCGCCGTATATGCTACCGTGTACCAGAAAGCTGCGAACAGTGCCGAGGCTGGTGTTGAAAAAGACCCAGAAGACGTCCTTTGCCATGGCAAGGCATGCTATGCGCCCACCTTCTGGGCCATGACTATTAGCGTCTGGTTCGCTATGGGCCTTTTCCTGTGGGCATGGAGAGGCCCTGGTGGTTGGAAGCGAAAGGGCATTGCTGTATAACACCCTAGACACATCTCATTTTGCTCATCCATTGCCTGTTTGTTTGTTGCTTCATGCATGGCGAAGGGAGTTTTTCTACTCTGTCATTTTTGCTTCATTGGTTTTCTCTCGTCATTTGCTCCGCGTGGTTTTTTATCTGGTCATATGCATATTGTATCCATCTGGTCTGATCTCGTCTTTTGGTTAAACCCTCTCGTTTGATAGTTTACATTGAAATGCTCAGCATGTTGAAGAATCATGACACATGATATGCATGGCGATCTGAGTGAGTGTATGTGATGTTGGCAACCTCGCCAGATAAAGTGGGTAAGACGGTCGGGAGGTGAGAGGGGGGGAGATAAGAACTCAAATCCGTCCCAAGCAAAGCGCCACCCCGCATTTCTGTGTTTCCCCCGCTTCCATTATCAGCTTATCAAGCGCACCATCTTTCTGTTACACCTATGCACGTGTACCCGTGTTTTCAAATTATCATATTTTGATAGAACCATTAATTTTGCAACTCGCCACCTGTAACGGGTCTTCATCAGAAGGTACACCGTCATCCCCATCTACCTTCCTGTCTCCACCTCAGCAGGAGCCCAGTTCGAGTCTCGTGGTGTCCTTTTTCAAATCCACTCACTCGGGTAACCAGTGATGCTGGAGGGACCTAAGCAATGAATGCAACTTGACGAGGGAAGAAATTCTGCAGTCTGGTATTCACCATGGGACGGCGGCGCTGGATTACTCTTATTGGGGTTGGAATGTGGCATGGCGGGCTGGTGTATCGACTGATATTTTTGTTTTTGTCTTAATTTTTTTACCGTCTATTCGGCTCCTTCCCTCTCTACCTTAGTAACTAACATATGGCACGAATTTAACAAACAAAACTAGCTAATCGCCTTGTCTACTAGCTGATGTCTTAACTGACTACGCAACATTGTTACTCTATTAACCTCATTCATCATGACTACATTTTTGCATCATGACTAATCACACATAGAGCATATGTAGAGAAGGCAAGAACACACATACACGCGATTGAAGTTATTAAATGTTATATTCCTTTGGTTGAACAACCACATGCATCAGCATACGCCAGGCAAAGCAACACTGGCTTCGCCACAGCACTCTTCATGCCATGCACAGTTGTCAAACATCAACTCTTTGTCTAGCCATCATCATGAGCCTTTAGCAGTTCCCAATTTACACCCGCGACCCTAATATACAAAGCACGCGCTTAACCAGAGAACTCCTTAATGTCCGTCGTCTTGCCGGGAATCAGAGCCAAGGGTACAATACCCGACACGTGCATCTCAGGGCCGTAGACGTGCATGTTGAGGCCGAGCTCTTGGCCGACGCTCTTGATGTTCTTGAGACCCTCCTGGTAGTTGGGACCAGCACGACGGATCCAGATCTGGACATTGTGCTCAATGAGGAGAGGGGCGACTTCCCTCAGAGCGCGAATGACACCCTTGAAGGTCGAGGCAACGTTGGTGAAGTTGGCAATACCACCACCAATGAAGAGAACCTTGCCCTCCTCGTGTTGAGGCGCCCTCAGCATGAGGTCAAGGACAGTGCGGGCGTAGTGGAAGGTCTGGGTCTCAGTTGGGGCACCAGAGTATTCACCGTAGTTGGCAAGCTCACTAGCAAAGCCAGCGGAGGCGATAGCGTCGGCGTAGACGACGGAGGCACCACCACCAGCAACTAGAGTCCAGACACGGCCAGTGGCGTTGAGAATGGTCAGCTTGAGAGAAGCACCAGTCTTTGCGTCCATCTCGGCAATATATGCCTCCTCCTTGCTCATCTCACGACCGAAAGGAGCAGGAAACTCCATTGGGGGGCCGACGTCGATGGTAGTCTTACCATCCTTTGCAGGAGCAGCAGCTATTCCGAGCGCATTTGCGCTACGGGCAATAGCCCACTTGGCACCGCACTCGAACTCAGCAGTTTGGTCGAGCTTGGCAGCAAGATCAAGGAAGTGAACCTCAGCTGATGTCTTTTCCTCGTTAGGGATGACGACGAGAGGGTTGATCTCGAGGTAGCTGCAGCAGCGCATTAGTGTCAAGTAGGAGGCGCTGCAGACGGATGGCTTACGTGAACTGGCAGTCGACGTAGACGGCGTATAATCTTGAGATGAAGTCAACGAGGACGTTGTGTACACCCTGGGGAACCTTCTTCAGGAGAGTGGCAGCAATCTCCTCATTTGAAGGGTACTCCTTGAGGTCGACGGGGATGAGAAGCTTCTCTGCCTTCTCGTCAACATCACCAACGTCGACACCACCTTCGTGGGTGAAGAGGATCCAGTCGCCCTGTTAAGTGCAGATGTTAGCGGCTAGATCGGGCTAAGAGTGACAGGATTGGCAAGATCGTGCAGTGGCCCACACAAACGCAGCTGGCAAGAGCCGCAACACCAAGGGCCTGGAATGACAAAACCCGGTACAGGGACGTAATACGCTGGAAGCGCCTGGAGAATTGACATGTGAAAGTGGACGTGCGCATCGCAAAGGAGTAGGTGCTTTGCAGAAGTGGGTCGGTGAGTGTTCCCTTCGTCCGGCCCGCCTTCAAACAAAACCAGGCGGTACGCCCGTGTGCTTGAGCCAGCCCTTCCGCTCCGCACGCTCTCGCGCAGCTTACGCCCAGCACACCCAAACATGTCTTTTCCACACCTGCGACTGTGCCAGGCGGCGTTCTCGCACAAAACCGACTTGAAACGACACGAAGCAAAGAAATGAAGAAAAAAAGACGAAGATGAAAAAAAAAATCACACGGTGAACGTACCTCTCGCACAGAGTTGATGTTGATGTAGTACTCGGTGTCCTGGGGATGGGGGACAAAGGGCTCGACCAAGAACTGTCTCAGGACACCGTCGACAGTCTCGACACGCTGTGTCTTTCCTGCCCTCGCCTCGATCCACTCACGCGCCTCGGGCCAGGTCTTGTTCAAGGCCAGCAGACCGCTCTTGCCTCGCCTCTTGATGAGCTGGTCTGGCTTTGCAACGAACTTGGAGCCGGGAGTCAGCAGCCATGGGTATGTGGCCTCTGCCTGGTCGAGGACGCCCTTGACATCCTCGTCGGCGGCGAAGTACAGCGACGCAAGCTTGGGGGGAGGGTTGTGTGTGGCCTGGGCAGGCAGAGGGGTGGGCTTGATGACTGGGGCGCGGGTGAGGTGGTAGTTGAGGATGGCCTTGCCGTCGGCCTCGAGGATGGACTTGGCTGACATGGTGAAGCTGGGTCAGACTGGACTGGAGGTGGTGAGTATGGGTAGGACAGAACAGAGGAGCAAGAGAAGGAGCAGGTTGCGGGCGAGGCAAGGGACTGCAGGGAGATATGGCCGGGAAGGAGGAGCAAGAGAAGAGCAGAGCCACTGCCGGCAGCAATGTCGGGCAGAGAGAGATGGGGCGTTGGGCAATGTCCGGCGACAGCGACGACTTCGGACAACGATGGTGAGGGGGCCGGGACGACAAGATGCAAACTGGCAGGGCGGGGCTGGCGGCACGAACCTATATTTGTTGGGCGTGGTTGGACACAGGGGGCAGCAGGAGCAGAAAAAACCGGAAAGAATTGCTGGCAAAACGGGCAATGGTCAGACGGCGGGCAGACGAAGCGTGCGAGGCGGTCTGGTGTTTTTTCCTTGCGTGTTGAGCTTGGGAGGGTGCAGGCAAATGCAGGGCTAGGCTATTCGGCGGGACGCTGGCCTATCACCGCCGACCCCCCCACCACGGCCACAGGCACCAGGGCGGCCGTCTGTGCCCCTCGCCAACATGGCAACGACCCGAAAGCAGCGCAATCCCGACGGCCTTGGGGCGGACTCTGCCCATGGAGCGGACTTTTCCCCTTGGAGGCGGACTATGGCAGCGGGCGCCGGAGACAAAGGCTGATGGGCGCCGTTGCGCGCGCATTGAATGGGTTGTCCCGACTCCGAGGGGCGGCGTTGGCAGCACGCAGGACATTCGGGTCCCCGTTCACCGCCCGGGTCTTGGGCCTAGCGCCGCGGCGATTTAGTTTGTGCAGCTCAGTCTCCAGCTCAACACCGCCCGCAGACCAACAGAACAGGCGCCCACCCTTTCGGCCACAACCGCTGTTCTCTCCTCGCAACCTTCTCCCGAATTGTCCAAGCATCTGCCGCACTGCCCCTCGCCCGGCATTGCACCCATAAGGTCAGTTCCCCTCTCGATGCCCTCCGCTCCGCTTCCATTCCCCTCGTGCCTGTCTGGCCCCTACACCAAGCCCGCTGCATTTTTTCCCGCTGAGCGACCGCCCTCTCTCCTGCCACCCCCTTCCGCCAGCCATTGCCGCGCCTGCCTGCTCACGGCTGCCACTCGATAACATACAAGAGCCTGGGCCCGACTGACCCTCTGCCCTCCCCAGAAATCCCCCGAAGCTTCCCTTCGACTCCCACACACACACGGCCACCATGTCCTCCTCAGCGCCCGCCCAGGCGGCCAACGACAACATCCGCCGCTTTGCCGCCCCCTCGAGGCCCTTGAGCCCTCCGGCCGCCCACACCCTCTTCCACCCGAGGACACGATGCTTCGTCTAGTAAGAAAACACACCCCGCCCTGCCCTCAGTGCAGCAGAGCACGCCGCTAACATGCCCTCGCCAGCGGACTGCAGCCCCGTGCCGTCCAGGGCATGCTCGACTTCGACTTCATCTGCAAGCGCAAGCAGCCCTCGGTCGCCGGTATCATTTACACATTCGGCGGCCAGTTCGTCAGCAAAATGTGCGTGCCAAGCAATCGTCCCACTTTGCTATGTGACTGCTCGTCTGACAATAACCAGGTACTGGGGAACCAGCGAGACGCTGCTGCCCGTATACCAGACCGTCGAAAAGGCCGTTGGCAAGCACAGCGATGTTGACACCGTCGTCAACTTCGCCTCGTCGCGTTCCGTCTACCAATCCACCATGGAGTTGATGGAATTCCCCCAGATCAAGTGCATTGCCATCATCGCCGAGGGTGTGCCCGAGCGAGTAAGTACCCGGGACAATTATTGCATCTTGGAAAATGACAAGAAAAAAAAAACTGACATTGGCTAGCGTGCTCGCGAGATCCTCCACGTTGCCCAGAAGAAGGGCATTACCATCATTGGCCCCGCCACCGTCGGTGGCATCAAGCCCGGTGCGTTCAAGATTGGAAACACTGGTGGTATGATGGACAACATTGTTGCCTCGAAGCTCTACCGCCCCGGCTCCGTCTCATACGTCTCCAAGTCTGGAGGTATGTCCAACGAGCTGAACAACATCATTGCCAACACTACCGACGGTGTGCTCGAGGGTGTTGCCATTGGTGGTGACAGGTACCCCGGTACCACCTTCATTGACCACGTTCTCCGATACCAGTCCGACCCCGACTGCAAGATCATTGTGCTGCTCGGTGAGGTCGGTGGTGTTGAGGAATACCGCGTCATTGAGGCCGTCAAGTCTGGCCAGGTCACCAAGCCCATTGTTGCTTGGGCCATTGGTACCGTTGCCGGTATGCTCAAGACCGAGGTGCAATTCGGTCACGCTGGTTCTTTCGCCAACTCTCAGCTCGAGACTGCGGCAACCAAGAACAAGACCATGAGGGAAGCTGGCATCTACGTGCCAGAGACCTTTGAGGACATGCCCAACACTCTTGCCCAGGTCTACCAGAAGCTGGTCAAGGACGGAACCATTGTTCCCAAGCCCGAGCCCGTTGTTCCCAAGATCCCCATTGACTACTCGTGGGCACAGGAACTCGGTCTCATCCGAAAGCCCGCTGCTTTCATTTCCACCATTTCTGATGACCGTGGCCAGGAGCTGCTCTACGCTGGTATGCCCATCTCCGATGTCTTCAAGGAGGAGATTGGTATCGGTGGTGTCATGTCGCTGCTCTGGTTCCGTCGCCGTCTGCCCAACTATGCCAGCCGTTTCCTCGAGATGGTGCTCATGTTGACTGCCGATCACGGTCCCGCCGTGTCTGGTGCTATGAACACCATCATCACCACTCGTGCCGGCAAGGATCTCATCAGTGCCTTGGTTTCTGGTCTTTTGACCATTGGATCGCGCTTCGGTGGTGCGCTCGATGGCGCTGCAGAGGAGTTCAGCAAGGCTTTTGACAAGGGTCTCAGCCCTCGTGACTTTGTTGACACCATGAGGAAAGAGAACAAGCTGAGTAAGTGACTTTGGGAAGAGATGTGTGAATCTAATAGCTAACATTGCCTAGTCCCCGGTATTGGTCACAGGATCAAGTCCCGCAACAACCCCGATCTTCGTGTCGAGCTCGTCAAGGAGTATGTCAAGAAGAACTTCCCCAGCACCAAGCTGCTCGACTATGCTCTTGCTGTCGAGTCAGTCACAACGTCCAAGAAGGACAACCTGATTCTCAACGTTGACGGTTGCATTGCTGTCTGCTTTGTTGACCTTGTCCGCAACGGTGGTGCTTTCTCCAACGAGGAGGCTGAGGACTACCTGAAGATGGGTGTGCTCAACGGTCTCTTCGTTCTCGGCCGAAGTATCGGTCTGATTGCTCACTTCCTCGACCAGAAGAGGCTGCGCACTGGCCTTTACAGGCATCCTTGGGATGACATCACCTACCTGCTGCCTTCGCTGCAGTCTGGTGGTGCGCCAGGTGCTGAGGGCCGTGTTGAGGTTAGCTTGTAGAGTAGTGCTTGACGAAAAGCCAAGGGTATGTCCGGTTCTAGTCGCTTGATGGTAGACCGAAATAGGCGTTTTGAGCGCGGTGGACAAAGGTCTTGAAGTGCATGGCAAGGCCGCTGTAGCAATACCTGCCAATTGTTGGCGGAGATATCTTATTTAATATCAAACAAACAAGTAACCGAGTTTGCTATGCGAGAAGAGTTCTTTGAAGCCGGGTGGGTCGGCAGCCTGTGGCCAACTTAGTGGGAGGCCTCAATTCTATGACAGGCCCAGCCTTGGCCAATTGTGGGTTGGACCGTGTGGAAGATTAGGCTGAGATGAGCCGCTTTTACATTTAAACTCCACCCTTTCCACATCAGAAAAGCTTGTCGTGAGTACACCGCATGCACATGGATCCATAGAAAGACGTCCTGCGCAGGGTCAAATAGTCGACGGCTGGGCTGCATGCAGTGTACATTTTTGGTTACTTCCCGTCCGTGTGCGACGAATAGTAATCCCAATGTGGCGTGACTCGAGTTGTACTTGAAGACATGGCGTGTTACCTTTGACCGGTTGTCGGTGATGGTGTCAAGAAGCGTTTACTTACATGGAGCAGTAGCTGCATACGGTATGGCGGCCGTGGCCCTATATGAGGACAGTCAATCACAGCTTAGAACCAGCAGACACTAGCCACTGCACTGCTACTCGGCCCCGGCCCACCACGTTTGACAGCCCAGTTGGGTCCTTCAAGACGAAACAGTCATAGCCTTTTTCATGATGCTAAAATGCAATATGGCTGGTTTAGAAACCCATAACACTATGCCGTGCATTGTCCTCGCTCGTGCACCTGTCGAGGTTGAGTTACATGTGGTCGAAGTTATCGGTCTGCGCATTGGTTTTGGTCGACACAGAAAACACTACTATTACTGCAGGGCGGGACAATACGCCGCATTGCGCCCCACTCAGGCATGCAGCGCGTAAATAGATGGGATTTCATTCTGCGCTATTTCCTCTTTAGGCATCGTAATTGGGGGGGCTACGAGCCTGTGGCTTGTTTCTTCTGGCGGGCAGCCTAATTAGTTGCCGGTTTGCCTTGAAGGTGGATATGCAGCTAGTTGGCTGTGCCGCATTCTTTAAGAATAAATAAAGATGCACTCCCAGTCCCTATGCTCAAGCTTGTCGCTGGTGCAAAGATATACAAATTCAAAAAAAAAAAGCTGTCACCATGCTCATGCGCATTTCAGTTGCAGCTGTGGCTTCGGCCGGGCTTGTCATAGCCCAGGCATCTTCAGATGATAGTACTCACAACACGCTTGCCTCTTTTGCCTTTATTCGAACTGGAGAGCGGACCCCCATTCTACGAAACAATACCCAGGTCCTGACGGCGCTAGGCGCCCAACAAATGTACACACTTGGAGAAAACTTCAGAACAAGATACATTACTGGCGACTCACCAAGCAGGCTTGGTGTACAGCATGTTGCAGGAATGTCAGTCGATGTCATAGACAATGACCAAGTACGAGTTCAAACTCTGGAAAAGCCATATCTTGTTTCTTCTGCACAAGCATTTATGCAGGGTCTATATCCTCCGAACAGCAATTCCAACGGAACCGGACAAGGCACTAGCCGTCTTGCAGATGGCACCCAGGTTGATTACCCGCTCAACGGATACCAATATGTTAGCATCCAAGCTGCTGGTCTTGAAGACCCAGATTCAAGATACGTTTCTGGATCGCAAAACTGTCCTCTTGCGCAAGTAGCTGCACTGAACTTTTTCGAAACGGACAAGTTCAAGGAAACGGAGGCGGCCAATGCCGATCTGTTCAAGAAATTGAACATAGACTGGCTGGAAGGCACGCTTCCCGAAGCATATTTGTGAGTTCAACTGTTACACATGTTCGTGTATGTGCTAGACAGAGAAGCTGACAGTGTCAAATAGTAATGCCCGCTCGGCTCTTGAGATATCCGACTACATCTCTTACCAATACTCGCACAATTCTAGCGTCTACAAAGCTCTATCAGCAAACGACTCTGACTACACCGGTGTCTATGACCGGCTCGGCGACCTTGCCGATGAAGTTGCCTGGCACCTCTACGGAAACGCATCAGACGTATCAACCGATGCAAACTACCAAGCCATCGGAGGCAAGACTCTGGCCAGCTCCATCCTCGACTCATTCAACCTCCAAATCGCCAACAACAAAACCAAGCCAAGTAACGAGAGCGTCCCATCCCAGCGGCTAACCTTTTATTTTGGCGAACAAGACGCAATGATGGGCCTCATCTCCCTCCTCAACCTCGACTCCAAATCCGCAAACTTCAAATCCATCCCTTCCTACGCCTCAGCCCTCATCTTCGAACTCTTCAGCACAACCACCTCACCCAACCCCAGCCCAGACAACCTCTGGGTCCGCTTCTCCTTCCACAACGCAACAACCACATCCGCCTCGCCACTCGTCGCATACCCCTTGTTCAACCACGGGCCCTCCAACACAGACATGTCGTGGCCCGACTTCTCGCGCCAACTCAGCGCCATAGCCGTGTCCGGCATCGCAGACTGGTGCCGCACCTGCAACAGCGGCAGTCTCTTCTGCTGGGGCGCCGAAGCAAAGAAGAGTCTCGACGACGTGCCTTCCTCGTCTCCCTCTTCCATCCGCGAGCTCAAATCCCGCCTCTCCCCCGTCGTCGGCGGCATTATCGGCGCCGTCGTTGCGCTCGTCGTTGCTGCCGTGCTTTTCGCCCTCGTCATGCTCTTTGCCGGTGTGCGCGTGCATCGTCCGCAACCCAACAATGCCAATCGTAATGATGGCACTGCTAATGCCAGCGGGCTCGGCGGCTTCAAGGGCGTGGCCAAGCTGCCGTCTGATGCCGATTTAAGACTTACGAGTGAGGCTGGTGCGGCAGCCGCAGCCGCGGCGCGTCCAAAGAAGGGACATGAACGCATTGGGAGCTGGGAGATGAAGCATAAGGAGTTTGGCAACGAGGACAACGAGGATGTCAGTCGGAAGAGCAGTTTTGAGAGGATTGATGGGGTTGTTGCGGGGGCGAGGGTGGAGCCGGCTCAAAGGTTTTAATAGGGGTGGAGTGACTTTTTTTTGTATATATGAATTGCGTTGGGGAGATAGGAAATGGAGAAAAAAAAGTAAGAGGTTCATGTGGGTTATGTTTGAACTGGTACGGTGGGTATAGTGGCAAAGGGAAGGAAAAGTTACTTAACGTTTGTATTGTGATACCATCAAATAGTACAGTAAGAGGATGTCTACAGTCTAGTAGCTACTTTCTGTCTTTGATCCCGTCTTGTTGCTTGGGAACATACATGTCCATTCCTCTCGTCTATAACTGCAACCGGGTAAAAGATGACGAAGGGAGATTGGGGGGACTGATTTCTGCTTGTGTCATGACATCACCACCAAGTTTAGAGGCAAAAAGTAGATGGATAAGCATTTTGATTGTGCACATATCTACAAAACCCACTCATGCTGTCCATATACATATACGGCGACAAAGGCATAAGCTGCATTCTCTCTCACTTGTGAACTTCGTATCTGTCAATTGGCACATGAAAACATCACTGAAGGAGAAAGCCGCTTCCGTAAAAAAAAACGCCAAAAAGAATGCCAAAAAAAGATAAAAGGAATGAGACAGAGAGAAACAATCTCGAAAACAAAGAGCGAGAACAAAAAACCACCTGACCTCGAGTGCCGAAGCACGAGTTGTTAGTTTTTTTTTGAACCAACTCTGTCCCCAGTCTGTTGACAAGTATTTTGAAAACAAGGAAAATTCACCTCCACATCCAGCCATTATTTATCCACATTAGAATCGAAAGTGACTAGACTGCATCTCTCTCTCTCTCGCTTGCCCTTGAAATCTGCAAATTATGTGAGAAGTTGACCTGCTATGCCGAGGGCAACTCCGGCAGTCATGAGGTAATCGCGGCAAGGTGCCCTCCACGCAGCGTTTCCATTACCGTCAAACGCGCGACAAGCCTCGACAGTCAACTGGGAGCAGCCCAAGCTACTCAAGCTTGAGCAAATGCTCTGTGCAGACGACAGACCGACGCTGGGAATAGCGGTAATGGTAACACCGCCATTGGGAGCGGAAACGGTTACGCCCGGGGCGCCATTGGCAAGAGCACTTGTACAGCTTGCAGCATCGCTTTGGCAGCTTGTATAAGCGGACGAGCAGGCAGCTGCGTTTTGATAAGTCGTCGGTATGTACGGGAAAGGGTAGAATTGGTTCTGTACCGTGCTTCCGTGGTTTGCGCCGCTCGTCTGCTGCACGAAGGGCCCGCCCGTGGTTGTACTGGCGATCACAAATGGCACTGACGTAGTTGCGGTGGGGTTGGCTGTTGGGACGGCAAGAGCTCCCGTGCATGCGGCGCCCTGAGGACAGCATGCTACATGGCCGGCCTGGTCGGCAGAGCAGACGGCCGTTCGAGGGCAGCAGAGGCCCGGAGCGCCTAGGCGAGCGCAGTCGAAGTAGTTGTTTGCGCATGCGTTGGCCTGTCTTTTGAGGAGCTCGGGTTGTACGTTTGCCGGGGCCGTGGGCATCGAGTCGTATACGTTGTTCGGTAGTCCCTCGACGGCGGGCTCAAAGTCGGCGACAAGATCGGGCGCGGCGAGGGCTGCCAGCGGTGCCAGTAGCAGCGGGGCGAAGGCGGCGCGCATTTTCGAGGAAGAGAGGTCGTGGGCTGAGCGAGCGTTTTGCGGGAGAAGAGATGCGACTTGCGCCAGTAAAGGCTGCGGTGTGGCAGGAGAACGAGCGATTTATCGATATGGAGATGGCTGGGGGAGGGGACGAGCACACAAGGCAAGTTGCGGAAGAGCGGTGGGAATACAGAACAATGGGTGCGCTAAGTGGCACACAATTGACAGTAGCGGAAGGGAATATGGGCAGCAGATGGTGTGGTTTGGCCAAGGTCGATGTATAGATGGGCGCGCGGCCGGTGCGGCTGTGGTGTGTGTCTCTGCCCAGCCCGGATTCGTTGGCACGGTGACGTAAAGCCTGATTGGTTCACCGCTGGATTCGACGGCTCTGGCCCGCAACACGTGCATGGCAACGTCCAAGGCCCTGATGATCTTTTCCCACTTGCGCCCACCATTACGCTTGCAACTCTGACGAACCTGCCCCGAACTTGTCCTTGTCGTAGCCTGCGAGGGACAGCCAAGATGCGCTGCGCCTGCTTGCAGCAGACCGATTACGCCGCCCACATGCACACCACCTCATGCGCTGTCAGGCACAAACACGAACATCAAATACTGCTTCAGATACGAAACACCCTCAGTGAGAGTCGATTGTTATTCCCGTCGTCACACTAGTTGATCTATGGACTTCATCCTCTATCCGTGCGCGCGCGTGTGTGTGTGTGGATGGAAACCTACTTTTACCCAGTCAAAGCTTCACCTAAGGAAACCGACCAGGGTCTTTACCAAAGATTCTGAGCAAGAGCCACTAAGTGTAGCAGACTGAAGAATCCATAGTATCAGAGATGATCTGATAATGCTCATCTCGATAGATGGGGATCTTGTTGATGCTATATGCAGTGGAGCCTGATGCGTAAGTATGGTAAGCAGTACGCACGTACTGGGGTTTGAGCAGGTTTGCGCGTGATAGTCGCATGAGCCAATTTCTTGGTTTCAATCTCCCCAGCATATATAAAGGCAAAGTACGCAGTTGGAGGTTTTGCATCTAAAGTTTTGATTTGCCTTCTGTTACTTAACCCTACAACGATTAGCAGCATTTCCTCCAGCTTTGTTCGTGTCGTCGATCAACCGGATCTATATCGAGGCGTATTTGGATAGACGATCACTTTGCCAAGACTGGGGTTCTTGAAGAAAGACCCTTTTTCGATATCAACACCAATCCCAACTAGGAACATGTCTGCCTCGTATGGTACCAGAGACCCAGCGATGCGGACGTAACATTCTCAGAAATCACACAACAGAAACGTGTTCCCCTCCAAGAGGACCATGACACTGTAATCAAGTAGACAAAAGAGTCACGACTGATAGACTTTGGACCGCTTGATCATCAGTGACGCTGACAGAGATGTTGTAAATTCACCAACAGTGAAAACGGACATCGCAGAGGCACAACATGGCTGACCTGCAGCACAGCAACGTAGACCAGGTGGCATACTCTTTTCCAGCGCTGTTGGTGGAAAGAGTTTGGTGTCGAATTTCATTACTATGACCGAGTCTAAGGATACTAGTACGCCAAGCCGGAGCGGAAGAATACCTCTACTACTACCTGCATAGCAAAGCACTCTCGGCGTTCTCTCATACACAAATACAGATGTCAATCAGCCCTGAACCTCCAACGGACAAAGGCGACAAAACCGTGTTGTGTGTGCCAAGACGATGCTAACATTTAAAGAATTACCCGGAGCCAAAGTACGTAGTAGTAAATTGAATGTCAGGGCTGTCAAAGTGCATTTAGTACGTTCAAGCGTTGTTGAGTAGTGCGATGCCAAGATGCGCTACGTACAAAGTTGCATACGATACACGCTGACGTAGATGAACTTGGGGCATACGGCCTCAGTGCGAAGAGACGACAACAAAAGATTCGATTTGGCCGAAGCTAGGATGGAAGCACCAAGGATATTACGCTTTGACGCTGTTCCTCTGAAGATTCGTGCATGAACCAGTCTTGCTCACGTCAGCGGTACAGACGTCAAGTTCATGGATCAGCAAGAGGTTGTGTACTACTTATGCGGTATATGCACAATCGAGCAAAAACCATGCCACTACGTATGTATGGAATGTACCATGGACTCAATCTTTATCGCTAGCATGGGTTTCTACAAGTCGCTCAATGCCATAGGAACTACTTTTTGAGTGTCTCACAGAGCATCTAGTCTCACAGGATCAGCCAATTCGACTATGGATTTTGACGGTCTAATCACTCTGCCCTTCTTCGCTGGCTCCGCAACTGTGCGCCTGCCCATTAGAACAAGCAAAGGCCCTTCCCTATCCGGCACATCACTCCTTTTCCATGTGGCATACACCGAATTCAATATGGACTGCTTCTGCTCGAATTGGACTTTTTTTTTTGCTCGGGGCAGCGATCAAGAGCTGGGAGCCGTATAGGCATGGGGTGTTGCATAATACTATCGGAGCGATGGAGCATCTTGAGAAGAAATCATGCGGTAGCAGCCATTAGCCACGACAAAGGCCACATGTGCGTCGTAAGCAAGGAAAGAGGTAGAAGGCTAGCCATGACCGGATGACGAGAGTGTATCAGTGTCAAGCAGTGTGGCGCGGGCAGGGGGTTATTGCAGTGGCTTTCGCATCCACAATTGAGCGTGGTATTGTTTATGTAAGTGTTTCTCTTGGATTGTTTGGGAAAGAGGAGTGTGTGTGTGGACGCTAGGGTGTGAAGTAAAGCAGATGGAATTAATCAATAGGATATTAGCCTGCGTGATTTGTAGGCGGCAAGGCGGTGTGATTGGGCAAGTCACACTGGGCGACAAAGCTTGATGCCAGTTGACCGGCAATACTGTGGTGTCTCGCTTCATCTCACATCCGTTGTTGCCGTGCCGTGGATCCCTCCCTGGTCGTGCCTCAGCAACATGAGGGAGGAGCCAAAAAAAGAGGGCATTTGCAACACTGGCTTCAGGAACGCCTGTTTGGCGTGTGTTACGGTGTCTTGGGTGGTCGAAACGGGCCAGGGCTAGCGCGAGGAAGAAAGTGTTTCCCTGAGGCTCTGGCAGTGTATGGGGTCAAAGTTAAAATTGGACTGGTTGCAAGGCTGATGCATGGCGCTGGCGCGGCAGTTGGCGGAGCTTAGGCCCCCGCAGCCGGAACAGGCGCGAGAAGATGATCACCAAACAAGAGGCGTTTGCGCAAAAGCAGTCGCAGACACGGCAGTGCGACAAAAAGGACACGGCGAGCGGCGAGGATGGCCAGAAGCAGGAGGGGGAGGGGGGGGTGGCTGCATGCGACCATGGCAGACTCCAGCGTCGAGGAAGGTTGGCAGTAGGCAATGGGTGGCTGAAGACACAGCTGGCTGGGAGGCGACGGGCTTACAGGCTGCGTACGTGAGGTTAGCTGGGGTTCAGGAACCAGGCCCGCCCCCACAGCGATTGGCCAGCAAAGCGCCCATGCGCCTCGATGTTTCGAAACTACCAGTCGATATGCACAAGCGACGACGACAAACAACATGGTTTCAAGCCAATGCCCTGTCGGCCCTGCCACTGCGCCAATGACAGCGCCCCAGCCTTCACCAAGCTTTGAGGCACGCACGGCGGGTGCACGCCAGCTTTTGGCTCTGCTACTAGCAGCACAGTACTGCCGCCGACGTGGACAATGGGCCCAACCTCTGACCCTGCTGCTGCCGTGCCTCTTCTTAGCATCCTGCTCTACACACGTCTATATAATTTTCGCCCTCGCCCATCTCTCTGCCCATCCTCACCTCGTTCCTGTACAGCTCCTCTCATCCTGCCCTGCCTTTTGCCTGCACACTCGCTCGCCTCGTGTCCTGTAAACACTAATACTACGTTACTGTATAAGTACACACTTGCCAGCTCCAGCCTCTAATATCGGTAAGCCTGCCCTCGGCTCTATTTGCCCTCCTCTGCTCCTTCCCTTCCCAGGCCCCAGTATGACGTCGGTTTTTCCTCGCTACTATTTTCTTTTGTGTTTCCTTCCTGTCATAAGGGTTGCGCTTTCCTAATTTCCTGGCGGCACTCCCGCTGTGCCGCTTCATATACATATACTTGGCAGCTGCTCCACTTCATTTCCTTCACATACCCTCCGCCTACAAATTGCTTGCACTTCCACCTTCACTTTGCTAAACCACTACACAGCCAGTCGCTCGCTTAGTCTGCTTCAACACATAGCCCTTACACACGCACACAATCAAGATGCTTGTCTCCGTCATCTCCATCCTGGCCGCGGCTTCTGCAGTCACCGCTCAGTCTACCAACGCCCCCGTAGTAACAGACAACCCCATCGGCGCAACGTACGTTGCTACGCTTCCCCAGAAGGCCGGAAGCTCCCTCTCGGGTACCATTGAGGGTACCACCGGTGCCGACGGCAAGGGTGTCAAGTTTAGCGTTCACTTTGCCGGTCTCCCAGCCACTGGCGGCCCGTTCATGTACCACATCCATGCCAAGCCTGTCCCTGCCGACGGCAACTGCACTGCTACTGGTGGTCACTTGGACCCCTACCACTACGGCGAGACCATGCCGTGCAACGCGAGCGCGCCCGAGACCTGCCAGACTGGCGACTTGAGCGGCAAGTACGGAAACTTCAGCACTCAAGAGTTTTCCGCCGAGTACACAGACTTGTACTCTGCTACTCTGCCTTCCAATCCTGCCTTTGTAAGTTACCCCCCCGGCCTCGCAAAACTATGAGCAGCCACAGTTGAACTAACACACCAATAGTTTGGTTCGCTCTCGTTTGTGCTTCACTTTGCCAACAAGACCCGCATTGCATGTGCCAACTTTGAAAAGGTCGCTGACGGTGTGTCAACTGAGCCTCCCAAGTCTGAAGACTGCTCCACTTCGACCATGGCCTCTACCGGCTACAGCATCCCTACTGGCGCCGCTGGCTACAACGGCACTGTTCCCGCGCCTACTGCTGGCAAGCCCACCTTCCCCAGCGCCCCCTCGGCCACATCCTCAAGCCCACTAGAGTTTCCCGGTGCTGCTCCAAAGACTGTTGGTGGCGTAGGTGCTCTGTTCGCCGCTGCCGCTGCCGCAATCTTTGCCTTGTAAACAAAGGCTACGACGCACAACACACCATTACGGAATTTTCTTTGTTATTCGATTCTTTACTTCTTTTTTTTTATGATTGTCATTGATACCAGATGAAAGCGAAAGATTTAATGTCCATGGTCTTGCCAGCCTTGATAAAGGAAATGGCAAGGCAAGGGGAGGACATGGTATAATGTTTTGGCAATTTCTTGTGGCTTGTGTGCATTTGTACATGGTCACACACCTTTTTTTCCCTCCTTCTTTTTTCCCTCCTCCTTACTGTAGTTTTATTTCCAAATTTAGAGACCAGCAATGCGGAAAAATGTTTTAGTTCAATTTTTCTTTTGAGTTGATTTGGAATCATTCATGCCTGTTCGAAGCCAGCCGAAGTGGCTTTTCAATGTATCGTGTAGCTAGTATATTAATTAAGGGTATCGGCTCCAACAAACTAAATCGCATATGGATCGCTTAGCGTGGCTTGAGCTTCAAAAAAAAAATGCCATTGTCAACCAAACGCGGTTGCAAGAGAGAGAGAGAGAGTGGAAAAAAGTTCAAATGAAACAAAGCAAAACAAAGAAAGCAAATGAAACCAGCCGTTTTTTTTACCCGCCAGCCGTTGACGCCACACGGTCCGCCTCGCCCTCGTCGCTATCCGGCTCGTCGCCCCGAGCAGACTTCTTGAAGCGCGGCTTATCTTCGGCAAGTGAAAGAGCCAGCTTCCTCCTCTGGTACCCTCTGCCCTGGTAATCCGCCATGAACTTTTCCGCAGGCTCAAACTCGCGGAACCGCACAGTGACAATGCCCTCGGGCTCCTTGTCGTACAGGGTGCAATTTGTAACTTCGCCGTACTCCTCGGCCGCCTCGCGCATCTCCTCCTTGATCTCGAGATAGGCTTCTGGCTCTTCGTCTAGCTCGGCGGGCGTGAAGGCGTGCTTGATGATGACCACTTTGGCCCACTTGTTCTTCTTGGGCGCAAATGCTTCGGCGACTTCTTCTTCGTTGTCGGACCATTCGTTGAGTTTGCTGCACTAGTGTTAGTGAACGCATCATGGTGTAGGCGGCATGGGGGGGTGCCAAAGTAGCCCAACTTACCGGTTCAATTCTGCCCTGTTGCGCTCCGATGCTTTTCTGTCCTTGCGTGTGAGTTTCGAGGCAATCTTGTCGCCGTCCCTCTCCTTCTTGTGCTCAATCTTTGCGGGCTCGACGCGAATGGTGCCGTTGGAGTAGTCACCGGGGCGGAGGACGTAATCGTCCATCATGTTGACGGCATTGGTAATGGCTTCCTTGCGGAAATAGACAACCATGGCGTTGCCCGTAAACTTGCCCGTCTCGTCGTCCATGTACATTTTGATACGTGGTTGGCCATCGGCGCCCTTGTCAATGATGCCGAAGCGCGAGAACTCATCTTCAATCTCTTTGGCAGTCGTGTCTGGGGGCAGGTTGGAGATCCAAATGGCCTTGTTCTCAATCACTTTGGGCTTCTTGTTGGCCTCGGGCTCCTTGCCGTTCTTGCGCTTTTTGCTGTTTTGGCCAGCCTGCGCATCCGCGGCGCCATCATCAACAGGCGGCGTGCCCGTGCCTGCTCTTTCGGCAGCTTGCGCCGTGACGTCGCCTCGCTCGCTCATGTTTTGCGACAGGTATGGGTGCAGCCAGGCGGTTGGCTGGAGGCGCGGATCAGCGCGGTCTCTTCCCAGACCAGATGCAAGCTCCAGCTTCACGATGTCGAGGGCGGCAGAAAAGTCGGGCGGTAAGGTGTGGGGCCGCCGAGAGGGAATCGGAGTTTCTTGCGACGAAGAGGCTCGGTGCGTGGTGGGCTGTCATCCACAGGCACCATGTTTGGTTAGTGTTTCTGAAGGGCACGCCATGCTGCTCCAGAGGGTGCGGATGAGCGGGCCTGTCTATGTACGTACTCGGATGCACTGCCTACAAATACACGTACACAGCCGTCGGGGTCGCCGTCGATGGTGGGTGGAAAGCAGATGCTGGCTGCACGCAGGTACATAGACACGTCCTGACCACAGGCTGCAGAATGACGCTGATTGCGGGCGAGGATCGATTGAGCCGGCAGATGGTCATGCACGCGCCCAAAGCCCTCCAAGCCAAGGCCTGGCTTAGCGTGCAGGGCAAGCTTTGCACCATGTTCGATCGCCAGCCCCGCATGTGACGACCTGGCGATCTAGCCATGTGCGCGTAGTGCGGACTTTCGGAGCATCAAGTGTTCGACAAGACGATACTTCAGACGCAACAGGAAGAAACCCTGGCCATCGCTAACCACTCGACCCTGAATCGCATGCAATATATATACGCGGAACATGTAGCCCTGCCCATCTGGTAAATCCCTCTTTTTGCTTTTGCTTTTCTTCCTTTGTCGGTGCCTCATACGACAAAATACTGATACCATGTCTCTAGTCGATACTGTTCTCAGACCCAACATGCGGGATCCTCTCCCCCCACCTTCGCTGCTTGTCCAAGCAAGCAAGCCCTTCGCTGACAAACTGAGCCTGACGACTCTCCCTTACCATGTCCACGAGATATTCCTCGGTTTCCTCGGATACCACTTCATCCTCTATGTCCTTTCGCCGGCTATCTCGCGACTAGTATGCCCAAAAGCCTACCATGGCTTCAACAAGCGCACGCGACTCAACTGGGACATTCACTGGGTCTCCATGATCCAGTCTCTCTTCATATGCGCCGCTGCGTTGTGGGTCATTTTCAAGGATGAAGAACGACACGCCATGGACTGGAGGGGAAGGCTCTGGGGCTACACGCCAGCAAGCGGCATGGTCCAAGGCTTTGCTGCCGGCTACTTCCTCTGGGATCTCCAAATATCGACACAATACATTAGTATTGCTGGCGTCAGTGCGCTCATCCACGCCATCGGCGCTCTGGCCGTAACTTGCATCGGTTTCGTAAGTCGCGGCAACCCACCCGCCCTCTTGGGCCGTGTGTCGCAAACCCAAGCTGACTCGTGCACCAGAAACCCTTTGGAAACTACTACGGTCTCTCTTTTGTCCTCTACGAGCTATCCACCCCGTTCCTTAATATCCACTGGTTTTGCGACAAGCTCGGAATGACGGGATCCAAGCTCCAGCTCTACAACGGCATCGCTCTGCTTGTGACCTTTTTTGGTTGCCGCATTGTCTGGGGAACTTACCAGTCCATTATGATTTACTCGGATATTTACAAGGCTTTGACCATGTCGCAGACTGACAGCATGACTTCACTCCTGGAAGCACAAAAATGCGAGGGAAGCACTAATAGCAGCACGGGTCTTGATGGATCTGCAAACTGCTACGGTGACCTCCCTATGTGGCTGGTATGCGTCTATCTTGTCGGTAACACGGCGCTGAGCATGCTCAACTTCTTCTGGTTCAACCAGATGATCAAGGCTGTTCGCAAGAGGTTTGTGCCTGCGGATGAAAAGGCGCAGGCCAAGAAGAGCCAGTAAATGTCGACATGAGAGAAAGAAATTGGTCCAGTTGAAGTGTGTGTTTTCCTTCTGGTTTTACTTAAGCGAGTTGCTTTGAAACTGCTGAGGCAGTTGGGATCTTTCAAGGAAGGATGACGATGATACCCATCTCTTATGACGAATGGAATGTGTATAACGAAAGGCTCATACGTGTGGGAGAGAATAATTACATACAAATTGCGATGAAATAAATACCATATCAGAAGTACAAAAAACATATCGCTCCCCTAGTCTTTGACTTGGCCATCTCACATCTTCCTTCCTTTCTCTGCAGAGTCTCCATATTAAAGTCTCCTGCTATAACCTTGGCCCACCCCCGGTACCCATCTTCTCCAGTTCGGCCCTCAGCACTTTTCTCATCTCGCTCGCCAACTTGGACCCTTCATCATCATCCAGATCGTCACGCTGGCCCCGTCCGAACATGGTCCAGCTCTTGCTCTTGATCTGAGGCATGCTTTCTGGTCGCGGTATAATGTGGAAGTGGACATGTGGTACTACTTGTGCTGCTCTTGCGCCTAGGTGGTGTTTAGCATAAGATGTTGGTATGGGATGAATGTAAAAAAAGTTATAGAGACTTACCATTATTCTGAACAATGTTGTAATCCGTCACGCCTGTGACTTTTGCTACTGTTCTTGCTAGAATGGGTAACCAGAAGCCTATGGTTTGTTAATTTTACTTAATCTTTTTCCATCTATACTGATGAATTAAGTAGAAAGAAAAGGATACTTACCAATCTCCCTACTCTCAACAACCTCCATATCCGCAACCTTGACTTTATGCTGACGAGTCGTAACCAGTAAATGACCTGTATCACCGAATATGTTAGCACCGTCACCATCCATACATCTTCCTCCTCTCTCTCTCTGATCCTCACAACCCCACGACCCCTCGTAAATAACGCCCCTGCATATGCATCTCCTCCTCCCCACCCGTTCTCCCACCCTAAAAGAAAACCCCCAAAAGAAAAACAAGAACACCTGAAAAAAATAAATAAATAAGAACTCACCCCTCGTCATGGGCAGAATGTCCAAAAAAGCAACAACATCCTTACTCCTCAGCACCACAAAACTACTCGGATCGGTCTTGCCGGCCTGACTCTCCTCCTCACTCGGTACGCATGCTACTAGCTCTTTCTGCAGTTTCTCGGGTGCACTGCGCCATAGCGAAGCGCCAGCCTGTGCGCCATCGGAGACGGGATACGCGGCGGCGATGCTGCAAAAAGGACAGGATTCTGGCGGATAGTGGAGGTCGGTTTCTTGCATGGCTGCTGTTGCTGGGGTTGCGGGCTGCGTTCTGTGTGGCGTTTGCTTGTTTATTTGTGGAACAAGGCCGACAAAAATGGGGTATCCAGACGGGAAAAGGTGTGGGTGTGTGTGTGTGTAAGGGAAGGTGTTTGTTTGTTGATTTGCTCCACACACACACACACATACAAGTGGTACCCGTTTTGATGGTTCGTCAAGAAATCCCCAGGATGCACGCAACTTTTAGTTCCGCGATTTGCACGTCACCACCCCCTCCCGTCAGCAAATAAAAGGTCAACCCGTCTTCTCCCCAGAACCGGTAAAGTATCACAATCGCAAAATCTCCACAAGGCCCAAAGGTAAAAGAAAAAAAAACCCCAAAGACGCTGGCTACGTAAAACAACTTGAGATGGAAAAGGTGAAAAGAAACAAACAACGAAAAAGGTTGCGGACAAGAACGAAAGGTACGATCGCAACCTGCACATGCACCCGTAAAAAGCTCGAGCCCTCGATTGCCAACCAGTCAAAGCGGCATAGCTCCCCCCACGTCTCACTGCTTAGACCTCGGTGCAACGATCGCGCGTTCTCAAAGGGCATCTGGGCCCGGGGAGAGAGCGGCCATTTGTGGCTGGGTGGCTGGGGAGGGGGGGAACAAAAAACATGCCAAGGTCCACCAACCATGTCATCCATTCCCCGAGGGTGGACAGACACACGCCAACGATGATGACATTTGCTTTGGTTGGCTGGTCGAAGAAATCAGCTAGGCCAGTCCGCATTCTGGTTTAATGCATAATGCATGCGACTAAATTGGCCAAGGTAAGGGGGGGCGACGTGATGGGCGGACGCGGTGTAGACACGCATGACGTGCCACTACCGTGTTGCTTTCGAGGCAGGGCGTACGCGACGCGAGACCGTGGAGCTATGGCGTTTCGGTCGCGAAACACCACAAAATGGGCGACATGGCTGGGACTTTTGAGAGGGGGAGGGGAGGTATTGGTACACATGACGTGATCCCAATAGGCACAACAGCATCCATCTGTCACACCAAAGTGTTTTTTTCTCAAAACGACCAGATTATTCAACATGCTTTACTCCATTCTACTACGCTGCCCCCCAAACAGTGCGCAATTCACACACTACTCATACACGTGTGGAGAACGAATATCTCCTTATCTGATATGCCAAATGACCATGTTTTTCCCACACACCACACCACACACTACACCACACACAGACCACACACACAGAAAGACACTCCATACAGGTCCACAAAGGAATAAAAGCCTCTCTCATATCATACCGTTCCTGGCACATTGGACCGCCTAAGCCATGAGCGAGTATCCAGAGCCGCTATAAGAAATGAGGTAAAGTGCGATCTGAAAAGGTGGAAAAAAACAAACACACCCTCGTTACGCCTCCGTGGACAGGAGATGAACGCCGGCAACTCCGTTTCCAAGCAAACGAAAAAAAACCACTTAGGGAGGAAAAAAGAACCAACAATGAAGTGAACAACCAACTTGCATCCCATGTATTAAACGCCGACCGGAAGATGGTATTAGCCAAGATGCAAACATGAATAGCCTGGTTTGGATGCAATCGTAAATTTTGGCTCCCGGTCGGGACCTGAACTTCGTCAATCACTACTCGTTCCCATGCCGGCGGTAATGAATAGCTTTGCGACACATAAGCCAAAGACCGGTATTGCCTAACAAGAACCCACACGCTTAGCGCACGCTCTTGGTCTTGGAGGGGACAGCGGCCTCTTCTTGGAGTGCGTTACCATAGGCAGCAACGTATTCCTTGGCCCACTTGCGAAGAACAATGGATGCTGCATCGTATTAGTGGTGGACGAATCAAGACGGCATAGCAATCCTTACCTTTCAAGAACTTTTTGCTGGCATACTTCTTAAAGAAGGCCTCGTGTACGACAGGGCCGGAGAGGTAGTCGATCATCAGCTCTAGCACGGGCTGGATCTCCTGCTCAGTGTAGCCGGCGTAGTGTGTAAGTGTGGCGTCCTATTCAAGTTAGAAACAAACAATATACATGTGGGGCATGACTGTAACATACCCAAGGGCCACGCTCAAGAACAAGGCGAGCGAGGTACATGGCAGCGGCAGCGACCTGGCTGGGAGGGTGGGCGAGGAAGCGGTGATCCAGGCAGCCAATCTCCAATAGATACTTGCCCAATGTGCGAGTCTGGATGTCGTAGTTGTCGGCCTTTGATATCCGGCGGAGGAAGTTCATGGGGTTGGGGTAGCTCAGGTCGTAGTTCAAGGCAGCAAGGACGAAGCGTTCGGCGCTAAGAATCTCCTCCTCAGTGAAGCCGTCGTCGGCAACATGGCGGAAGTTCTGTACGTGAGGAGAGAGAACCTCCTCGTACTTGGAGGCGATGAACATGGCAGTAACGCCAACCAACTGGAGGCGGTCCAGCTGGACAATCTTGGTCGAAAGGAAGCGGTCAATGATGTTGACAGCGAGGAAGAGAGTCTCGGGAAGGAGGCGGAAGCGGGTGTGGACCTCGAGTAACCAGTCGACAAGAATGCCGCGCATCTTCCACTCGAGTTCTGTTTGGCTCTCCATGTAGTCGGGGTTGGCCATGGTGGCAATCTCAAGCTCCTTCAGGTACTCAAAGATCTCGACAACATACTCGGAGACCATGAGCGGGTCGTCAACGTCCTCCTTGTCAAGATCTGGGCCGTCGTAGAAGACCTCGGTGACGGGTGCCTCTACCTCCTTCTTTGAGCCCTTGGTCTGCTTGACATTGTCCTCTTCAACCACCTTCTTCTCTTGCGGCTCGACGTTCTCCTCCTCTTCCTCCTCTGGCTGCTCTTCCTTCTCTTCTTCCTGCTCCTTCTCCTCTTCCTCCTTGACGTCCTCCTTTACATCCACCTTTGGCTCCGCCTTGACTGGCTTTGCGGCGGCAGCGCCGCGTTTCTTTGCTGGCTGACCTGTGATACCGTTGCCACTAGCTGGGCGCTTCTTGAGGTCGGATGTGGAGATCTTTTCCTTTTGCTGTAGAATGGAGCGCGTCGAAGCGGCCCGTGATGACTTCTCGACCTTGGTGGGCTGTGCTGCTTTTGAGAGTTGGCCCTTGGTAGCCAGTGGCTTCTTTCCGTCTTTTGCGCCGGCACCCAGGGCATCCTGCTTCGTGACATTGCTCACGTCACCAAGAGCCGCACGCTTTCGCGTCGCGGCACCGTTCGCGCCGAGGGTAGCAGTCGACTTCTTTGTCTGGAGAGCCTTCTTGGGCACGTCTGCTGCCGACTCGTTGGCGCCCAAGTTGGCGGCCTTTGCACGCGTCAAGCGTGTCGTAGTGGCATTTTCATCGTTCTCATTCGTGACGGCGCGTTGCCTCGTAGATCGAACCTGTTGGAGCGTGTTAATGAGCTGTATGGGAGGCATACACGTTCCCGCCGCGTCGTGGGTCTCGGGGACGGATGCAGCAAAAGGGCAATGACGTACTGCTGGAGGCATGGCAAGCAATATTAGGTATGCTGAGCAAAGCTAAAGAGGTATCCAGGTGTTCGGGTAGATGTGCAGTGGGTAATGGCTGATGTTTGATGTGTTGTGATGCACTGTTTGGTGACGTTAGCAGAGTTCGACGGAGCTTGGGCAGGGCGCGTCGGAGGTGGCAGGCCGACAGCAGCGGAGCATCGACGGGCGCGCAGGGTAAGCACGAAGCTGGGCGAGCGAACCACGGTCGATGCTCGCGAGTGCTGGTGGGCCAGACACGCTCGACAGGGTGCGGCAGCGAGGACGAGGGCGACGTGACGGGCCAGCAGGAGAGACGAACCCTAGGAGCGGTTGAGGGGTTAATTGAGTGGACGGGGTAGAGGTCCAGCTACGGCGTGCACAAGAAGGAAAGTGGAGGTTGGGCGAGGGAGGAGGTGCACCAAGCTGTGTTGTGTGGGAGTGAGAGGGTATGTTGTGTGTTTTGAGCGAGGGCCGGCTAGCTTGGCTTTCCACGTCCCACGCGCCAAAATGGCTGTCGAGGCTGGCAAAGGCAACAGTGCACGCCCCACAGGCGCGTGTGCAAACTTACGCTGAACAAGAGGCCGTGACGCAACGCGTTTCTGTGGCGGCGATGGGCGGCTGGCGGGAGGGCAGATGGCGAGGCGCGGAGCGGCGCTGGGTGTCGCGTAGTCGGAGGCGTGCAGTGCAGGAAGGGTGGGCGACACTGGCGGGCGGGTGCGTGTTGTGATGGGTGGCAGAGCAGACGCTGGTTGTTGCTGGGCCATCGCGCCGGGCAGGGCAGGCCAGGGCAGGGCAGGGAGGCCCTCCCCCGCCCGTCCTGCGCTACGCCCAGTCCGGCCACATAGAGAATTATTCGTGACACCGCCAGCACCAGCCCTCGAAGCCGCTGTGCCATTGCATCCCCGCCACGCATCCACCGCCCCCAGGCTCCCGACGACACAATGCTGCAGCCCCGGATATGTAGTCGCCTCCAGTCTGTGCAGCTGTGCGCCGCCCTGCGCTCTGCCCGTACCTACGCACAGGTCCATGCCGCCAGTGGAAAGCAGCCACCATCACCACCACCATCGTCATCCATACAGCCCACCGTCGCCGTCGATGCTGCTACGCTCAACCAAGAGGGCTCGCGGAGAGACCGATTCATCCCTCTGCGTACATACAAGCCCCGCACGCCCGGATTGCGCCATCTCAAGCGCCCCGTCAATGACCACCTGTGGAAGGGACGACCGTACCTCAAGCTCACCATTGCCCGAAAGGGACAGCACCTGGGAGGACGGAACAACACCGGCCGCGTCACAGTGAGACATCGCGGCGGCGGCCACAAGAGGCGCATACGCATTGTCGACTACAAGCGCTACCTGCCTGGCAAGCATATCGTCGAGCGCATCGAATACGACCCCAACCGGAGCGCACATCTTGCCCTTCTCACACGCCTGGCAACCGGAGAAAAGTCGTACATCATTGCTGCCGATGGCATGCGCGCTGGAGACGAGGTTGAGAGCTACCGCAGCGGCATTCCCAAAGAGCTGATTGCCAGTATGGGTGGTGGCATCGATCCCGGTATGCTGGCTGCTAAGACAGCGGCCCGAGGCAACTGCCTTCCTATCCACATGGTGCCGCTTGGCTCCCAAGTCTACAACGTTGGCTCCAAGTCTCAGGGCGGGGGCGTCTTCTGCCGGAGTGCAGGCACATATGCTATTATCGTCAACAAGGAGGAAGTAGAAAAGGGCAGCAGCACAGAGATTAAGCACGTCATCATCCGGTTGCAGAGTGGAGAAATCCGCAAGGTCAGCGCCGATGCATGCTGCACCATTGGTGTTGCCAGCAATCCGCAGTCACATTTTACATCCCTTGGAAAGGCTGGCCGTTCACGATGGCTAGGAAAGCGACCCGAAGTCCGCGGTGTCGCCATGAACGCAGGTCAGTGCTCCAGCCCATCAATTCACGGTTTGCAGTATGCTAACATGTCCCAGCTGATCATCCCCACGGTGGAGGCCGTGGTAAATCAAAGGGCAACGTGCATCCCGTCAGTCCGTGGGGAACACCCGCAAAGGGAGGCTACAAGACAAGGCACAAGAGGAACAAGCACACCTTCCTTGTTCAAGACCGACCGCGCAATCAAGGAAAGCGCAGGTCAAAGTAGGCCGAGAGCTGTATACGTACGCTCGAGTTCACACTGTACTTGTACTATACATTGCCTCTGTAGCACCATCCATGAATGTACCTTGATGAACCAATTCTATCTGTTCCGAGAAACAATTCCATTTCATGTCGCCCTGCTGACCTCTCAACCGGCAGTCGGAGTTTCTGCCTGCAATCCAAGGATGCTGCTAAGCTCTATACATGTACGCTATCGGGGGTCGCTATTACTTTCAATGTAGCTCGGCACTACTTTTCGGGCGCATTCGCTCCTATTCGCTCTTACTCGCTGGCATTAGTGACTTGCCTTGTCAGCCTCTAAGCATCGTCATCCTAGTTTCATACAGATCACATCGACATCCAGGATGACACAAGATATAACGCCTGCAACGTCGGTCGCATTTTTGTCTCTGTTAGGCCTAATTAAAACCCCCCCACTTGGGCGCGTCTCGCGCACCTGCATAACAAAGTCATATACTTACGCCATAGAATAGCTGACCAATGCAATACGTCGCTTGTGGCAGGCAGCGCAAAGCTAACCCTGAACGGAACTGGCTGGGACGTGAGCTGAGAAACCACCAACGGGGATTCCTGTTGGCAGCCCAGACGTACGGGAGATCCGACATAATTAGTCCATGTGGTCAACGTGCGTTCGACACGTTCAAGGCAGCACGCCTAAGGACGACGCTGCAGATCCAGTCCACACCAAGGAAGCCTATCCCTGCGCACCTCGACTCCTTCATCCCCATTCGCATGACAGAACTGCGACGCCCACTATCCTGGAGTTGTGGTCCTTCCCGCCTTACAACACCGCTTGTGTTCAAGTCACTGCCACATCAACAACTCGACCTTTAGCCGGGACTCGAACGATTAGGCTGAAGGAATTGTTCGAATCAGTGGTCCCCCACCTCTGAATCGTGCTTACGCGGGGTGCGGTTTCTCTGGCCCAGCGCGCACCCTTAATCTGCCTGGAACAAGCAACTGCTCACATCCACCATGAGTATGCCTCCCAACGAGGCCGAGTCGCCAGACGAGAGCTTCTTCAACGACCTGTCCCAACAACCGCAGGAGTCTAATACAGCCGATGATCAAGAAACACAACAAGACAGCTCGAGCAAAGTCAAGAGGATCGCCTGTGTGTTGTGTAGGAAAAGGAAGTTGCGATGCGATGGTGCACGACCGTCATGCTCAACCTGCAAACGCCTGTCCCACGATTGCGCCTACGATCAAGTGCGGAAGAAAAGCGGGCCCAAACGTGGTTACGTGAAGCTGCTCGAACAACGGCTCCGTAAGTAAGCGCATGCA